ATATATATTTTATAAACCGATGATAAGCTGACCAAGAATCTACAGTTGCATAGACAATTTTTGGGATACACAATTAATCAACTTATTTGCTATGGTGTCATATGCTTTGTTAATTTTAATACGAGGGTAGGCCTAGACATCACATTTTTAGTTGGCTGCAATTTTTTGATAATAATAAAAAATGCAGTGCAAAATGGTTGTAATTTTTCAATTACAAAATTAAAAACTAATTCATCAACTGCTGATTGTGCTATTTTTATCTTTAATGTCGATGAATTCTTCCAATGAGTGTGAGTTGATTCACTTCAATTTTTTTTTATTACTATTCAAATGTTCATTATTATCTTTTATTTTTTAGGTATATACAGTCTATAATTTTTTAATTAAAATATTATTAATTCCTGAATTTTTTATTAAAAATAACTTAGTTTCAATAATTAAGGTGAATCTTTTAAAAATTCCTCATTAAGCTTATTAAAACATTAGAAATTGAAATTATGATTGCCAATAATTTTTCAATTTCTTATCATTATCAGAATTATCATTTAAAAAGGAATCAGGAAAAATATCTAGGTTATGTTCTATAAAACAATATTACTTCATAGTTTTATTTCATATATATATTTATTTAAACAACTCTCCCAAAATCCTACCTTCAGCCTCATCGTGGCGGGGGAGTGGCAACGTCTTTTGGCGGCTAATGGAGGTCTAAAAGATGTGATCTGGGTCTAGAATAGGATCACCATCTCCTCGACGGGGTGTAAAAACCACTTAAAGTGGTTGATGTCAGGAAGGGCATCCGATTGTAAAAACCTTGCTACAAAATTTCCCTATGGTTACAACAAAGCATGGGCGGGGTACAGCCCAAAGTACCCCGTGGGCCTCCTCATCCGCCTACGACAAAAAGAAGGATGGGAAACCTGATGGAACCACTATTCATGAAAATGAAACTTATGACGGCCATAAACGACCTGATAAAAAGTGGAGAAACCAGTTTACGGGTGATCGAGTTAGGGTCGCGACATGGAATGTTGGGAGTATGACGGGAAGAGCGGGAGAAGTCGTCGATGTATTTCACAGAAGACATATAGATGTGTGCTGCATACAGGAGACTAGATGGAAAGGAAATGGGACCAGAATGATTGGCAAGACTAGCGAATAGTATAAATTCTTTTGGCAAGGAGGTAATGATGGTAAGGCTGAAGTTGGAGTATTGGTTGCGGAGAAATTGGTAGACAAAGTAGTCGAAGTGAGAAGGCTAGAGAACCAGATAATGGTTATCAAGATGATTTTTGGTAGAAAGCTATATAATATTATCTCGGCATATGTTCCTCAGGTTGGAAGAAGTGAAGAAGAGAAAGATATATTTTGGGACAGTCTATTGAGGGTGACATCGAGACTGGCAAATGAAGAGGGGATTATCCTGGCTAGTGATCTGAATGGACATGTGGGAGCGAGTAGTGAGGGTTATGAAGGAGTACATGGAGGGTTCAGTTACGGCATGAGAAATTTGGAAGGAGAGAGGATTTTAGAATTTAGTGATGCTATGGATATGATTGTCTGTAAATGTTTAAGAAAGAATCAGAGAAGCTGGTGACTTATAAGCCGGGTAGTACCAAAAGTGCTGTGGATTACTTGTTATTAAGGAGATGTGATCGATGTATAGTAAAAAATGTGAAAGTGATACCGGAAGAGGAATGTATAAATCAGCATCGACTAGTTGTAGGAGATCTCACTCTTAAAGGTGCCAGGGTCACTAAAAATAGTTTGTGCCAAGGCTGAAGGTTTGGAAATTGAAGGAGGAGAATGCTAGACGTCAATTCAATATGGCATTGGCGATTAGGGAGGCGGAGGTTGCACAAGCATCTGGGGTGAATGACAAGTGGGAAGCCATGAAGAAAGCCTGGGTAATGACAACTGAGGAGGTATGTGGATGGATAAAAGGGCCGCCTAGACATAAGGAGACTTGGTGGTGGAGCCTGGAGGTAGCGAAAGCCGTGGATGAGAAACGGAGGTGTTTCAATGTATGGTATAATAGCAAAGAAAATAGTGATAATGATATTTACAAGATGGCTAAAAGAAATGCTAAGAAATTAATAGCGAAGGCACAAGAAGAAAAAAGACACAAGTTTGCTAAAGAAATGGAATGCGCTGATGGAATTGGAAATATGGTTCGAATGGCAAAACAGATGTCAAAAAAGAGGCAGAATGTGATAGGTGTAAAGTGTTTGAAAAATATGGAAGGAAAAATGACGATTGATAGTAATGGTATTAAGAACACCTGGAAGATTTACATGAAAGGACTTTTGAATGAAGCAAATGAATGGAATAATAATATTAGTTGTGCAAAGGTAGAAGGTCCAGGGTGTAAATTTGGCAAGGACGAGATAAAGAGATAAGTGAAAAAGATGAAGAAAGGGAAGGCATCGGGTTTAACGATGGTGGTATCAGAGATGTTTAAAGGTTTTGATGATTTAGGGATTGAATGGTTAATGAATTTAGCAAATCAGATTGTCACAGAAGGTACTATTCCCGAGGACTGGTGAAGAAGTATAATTATCCCAGTATACAAGGGGAAAAGTGATCCTTTAGATTGCGGGTCTTACAGTGCTATTAAACTCTTGGAACATGCAATGAAAGTGTTTGAGAGAGTGTTAGAGAAGCCATCGGGAAAAGGCACGACAGATGCAATTTTTGTGGTGAGACAAATTCTGGAGAAGTATCTTGCGAAGGAAAAGAAACTCTATTATGCGTTTGTTGATTTGGAGAAAGCATTTGATAGGGTGCCGCGTGAGATTACTGGGCCTTGAGAAAATCTGGTGTGGAGGAATGGTTGGTTACCGCAGTGATGGCAATGTATGTTGGAGCACAAACAGCAGTACGGACGGATTATGGTGATAGTGACAGCTTTGAGGTGAAGGTAGGACTTCATCAAGGATCCGTGCTGAGTCCATTATTATTTATCTTAGTAATGGATGTGGTGGCTAGAGAAATGCGTGAAGGACTTCCCTGGGAGATATTATATGCAGATGACCTTGTATTAATGGCAAACGGTGAGGAAGAATTGAGGGATAAAGTTAGTAAATGGAAGATGACTATGGAAGCAAAGGGCCTGAAAATGAATGCATCAAAAACAAAGGTGATGATTGGTGGGGAAAATCTAAAGATGGAAGAATCCGGTAAGTGGCCTTGTAGTGTATGTGGGAAAGGAGTTGCTAGAAATTCTATCCAATGCACCAGATGCCAGAAATGGGTACATAAAAGATGTAGCGGGAAAAAAGGCAGTTTGATGTTAGAAATAATGACCTTTATTTGTAAAACATGCATGAAAGGGATACATAACCTAAAAAATGGTGGTCTGGATATTGGCAATGGGATAACCCTAGAAAAAGTGGATAAGTTTTGTTATTTAGGGGATATGCTTAACGCAGATGGTGTTGTAGATTCTGCCGTTGTTGAAGGATCAGACAAGCTTGGAAGAAGTTCAGAGAGATGTCGTCTATTCTTACAAATAAAAAGGTTTCTCTGAAGTTAAAGGGGAAAGTTTACGTAAGCTGTGTGAGGAGTTGTTTAGTTTATGGCGGTGAAACTTGGGCAATGAAAGCAACTCACGAAGCCAAATTAGAAAGAACAGAGATGAGGATGGTTAGATGGATGTGTGGGGTATCTCTGAGAGAGAGAAAAACTAGCAAGGAATTGCGAGCAAGATTAGGTATAGAAATGATTGGTATGGTAATGCGACGAAATAGACTAAGATGGTTTGGGCATGTGGAACGTATGACAAGAGATGACTGGGTAAAGAGATGCACAATGATGGAAGTAGGAGGATCAAGACCTAGAGAAAGACCCAAGATGACGTGGACAAATGTGATAGCGGCGGATATGAGAAGCATGAATCTTACAAGTATTGATGCTCAGGACCGTCAAAAATGGAAAAGAAAAATCAGAGGGAAAACTGGCCTACCCGCGTAAACCTGGAAATCGCCATAAAACGGAAAAGAAAGAAGAAGATATTTATTTAAACAAAGTTTTTTAAAATAACTATTTTATACTTTAAATTAAATATATTAACAATTTTAAGCTAAACCAATCAATACTACAACAAGAAATAGAAGATATTGTTTAAACCCAATATAATATTTTGAACCAATAACATTATTATGAATGTTATTGGTTCAAATGTTAGATCTCAGCCCTATACTATAGTATAATTTAATTGCTTATATTTATTTCATGATTAAGCTTTTAAAATATTATGAAAGAATACTTCTTTTAATGGTTATTTATAATACACATGATTTAATATTCTATTAAAAGTAATGTTTAAAATAATAATATAGTAATTCATTTTTTTTACCTTCACATACTTTTTTAAGTTTAAACTCTGAACATTGGAGGTTGAATATTTGTGTTGTTATTAACATTTACTTTGAATTTTGATTGAATATTAATTAGATTAACATTCGAATGATAATTTAACAATGAGAATTTAAAATAAAAATAAAGAAATGGTGGTTGATATGAATTAAAAACTCTGCTTAAATTAAAAATAAAATTATTTATAGTACAATAAAATATGTTTTTCTTTTTTTAATATATTTTAAGAAAAAATCTAAAGTAACAAGTAACGTTTTGTGTTACCGTTACTCAAAAGAAACTCGTTACTGTTATTCGTTACCTCTAGAAGAAGGTAACGAATGGCGTTCTATTTCTTCAAAAAGGGTAACGACGTTACTTTACAGCACTACTTTTAACCCTTCTCACATTTTGAAATAGACCAATTTTTAAAAAAAAAATTGATATGTACTCAATTTTTAAGATTTTAAACATTGTGTATCTACAATACAACAAATTACTATTATTATTTTTTTTTTAATCTCGTAAATTCATTATATATTTTATTAATCGCCATTATAAAAAAATTAGATATATACATTATATTATTTTTTTACAATGTGATGTTAATTCATTTATTTATCACATATTCACATTATTACAATTATACCATATTTACACATGGCCGAAATGATAGTAAATATCAATATTTAAAATTTTGGCCTCCTAATTTAGTCCAAAGCGAATCGAATTCGTGTGACTTAATTTCTGCACCTAAAGTATTGAGTAAACCGAACTCTTTTAGGCTTAATTCACACATTTGCATATCATCCTTTCGTTATAAAATATTTTATTGAATAAATAAATTATTCCACAAAATTATTATCAAAATTTAATACATATTTTAGATATGATAATTAAATATTCAAATGAGATTAATTATAGTCAGACTTGATTTATTTTTATTATAATATAAATTAATGAATTTAACGATGTTAACTATTTCAATCAACCTAACAAATTTAAAGACAAAGGATAATAATAATCACAATTTAAAGTTAAGATAACCCAACTTCATCATAAAACTAAAACATGAGCAATAGGAGAACTTGCTCATATTACTTTAGAATTATCAACATAAAAATAACAATTTAATAATCATTCATGGACCCCTCACTTCAAGATGCCCAGGTAGTAATAAACCTTCAGCCTCCCAACTAGAACATCACTTAGCATCTCACAAGATATTTTACCACCACCTTGAATCTCAACCCCAAATGACTATCAATTATTTAATCCACCAAATGAAAATCCAACACAGGAAAAGATTTGGAATACCCAAAATTTTTAACAAGCTATTTTAGCTCTACCATATTAAGAATCCCAAAGCAGCCCTTAAATTAATTTATCTTTTTATATCAAAACCATTAATAATATTTTACAAAATCCAGAAGATCTAAATTGGAGAAAATTAATATATTTCCCAACATTAATATTATCAAATCCACCAATAGATAATCCAACTCCACTGCCAAACCATCATAGAAAGAATTGAAAACTTTGTTTTTAATATGAAAAATTAACACCACATATCAACGATCCTGCTAAAAAGCCTCCAAGCAACCCCTCACACAAACTAATATATAATAAGATTAATAATTTTAATCTAAAAAGAGCCCTCCGATCTCTTGCTAACGCAAACACTTTGGCACCTGATAACATCACCACAAGAAATCAACTTTTAGAAAAACATCCGAGCCCTAAATACACTCCTCAAATACTACCTATAATAAATTCAAAGATAAATATCACTTCCATAGAAGCCCAAACCGCTATTAAATCTTTTTCAAACGATTCTTCTCCAGGACTGGATTACCTTCGACCTTTATTTATTATCGACCTCTTGGGTTTAAACAGTCCCTAATTTCTACTTTATTCTTTAACGAAAATTTTTAAACTTATTATCAACGAGAAATTATTAAATATACTACTAGCACCAATAATATTTGGTGCTTGACTAATTGTGCTTGAAAAAGCTGAAAATCAAGTGCGCTCAATAGCTATTGGAATTTTCTACTGACGAATCATTTCAAAAATTATTTGTAATCGACTCAAATCTACATAACCTTAAGTTTAGCTCCTTACCAAGTTGGATTTGGAGTAAAAGGAGGCAATGAAGCCGCAGTCCATTGCAGTCGACTAGTTTTATCCAACCTCAAACCTGAAGATTATATAGCAAAACTAGACATATCCAAAGTCTTTAATTAAATTAATAGGAATAAAATGATCGATAATTTCTTATATACATTCCCTGACTACAACAATTACATCCATCTTAGCTATAGGATTCCTTCCTTACTCAAATTTAATGATTATATTAATTCTGCAGAAGGTCTCCAACAGGGTGACCCATTAGGACCACTACTTTTTTGCTATACCCTTAAACACCTAATAAGTGATATTGCTTTTTCATGCAAACTCAATCTACACGTTTGGAACTATCGGGTACTATTTCTTCAATCCAGAATTGTCTAGATATAATTAACAAACACTTTGAAGAACTTTATCCTTAAATATAAAAAAATGCGAAATTTATCCTTCTCCGCCTCCAACAGACACTATATTAGATAACTTTCGACGGACACCCTTACAAGATTTCAGTATATTAGGAGCCCCATTGGGAGGTGCAGAGGGAGTTTTTAATTTTTTAAATAATTACCTTCAATCACTATTACCCAAACTATCGATCTTAAAAAAATTACCCATCCATCAAATTTCATTCTCAAAAACGCCCTTTTAATACCACAAATCCAGTATTGTTTAAATACTTCTAGTGCCTTCTCTTTTGAAATTCTTTAGAATACGAACAAAAGATACCACAAATGATGACAGAGTTATTAAACATCAAACTCGATTCTAAATCATGGCTTCATGCAACTCTCCCTTGTAAATCTGGAGGCCTAAGATCGGCATAAGTATAGCCCTTGTTTCCTTCATAATACACCAAATCAGTAAAATATATAACCTCGCAAATTATTACCATCGATAAGGATAATTTATTAGATGAAGCCTTGGAATATTAATGTCTTACCAAACACAGCCCCACCAGATTCAACGAAACAAAAAGATTTGAACCAAGGATTGGTATCTCGTTCCTTAGCTACCTCAACTTGAGCGATGATCACCAATATATATCCCTCCTAAAAACACTTAATTTTAATAACTCTGACCATGAATGGTTGGACTCATATCCCAGCATTTTAAATAACCAACTAATAGATAACGACTCTTTTCGTTATGCAATCAATTTATGCTTGGGCGTACCTTTCCTAAACCAATATACTTGCATTAAATGCAATCAATCGGCAGACGCGTATGGCTTTCCACTGTAAATTTATATCAAAAATCAGCCGACATGATAAAATAAATTCAATAATAGCTTCTTTTTAAGCCAATTTTTCTTGTGTTTTAGAACCGACATCTTCTTTAGGTAAAAAACTCCCTGACGGCAAAACCATCGTACCATTTTAAAGGGAAAGTCTGAACCCATGGCCCCATCTAATAATTTGCATGATCCCCTCAATAGAGCTGAATCTCTAAAAAACAAAATACTAGCACCTAATGTGTGACAACCACTTTGTTCCCATAGCAGCTACATCAACCTGCTCTTTTAGCAAGCGGTATTAAATCTATTCAAAATAATATCCAAATCAATTAAAAAATCATACCTTTCTCCATCTTATAAACTCAAGCAGAAAATTGCCGTCTCTTTAATTAGATCTAACTATCTAATATTTAAAAAATCCTGGCCCGCTGATTTTTTTAAAAAAAAAATTTTCTCATGCTTTGTGTTAATTTTTTTTTTTAAACTTGTACTTATATATGACATATTTTTTTTACTATAAACTTTATATTATACCATCCATGTTAATTTTTAAATAATAATATTTTTTCATATTTGTATATGAATTTTAATAAAAATCAATAGAATTTCAAATTCATTAAAATTAGATATATACATTATATCATTTTTTTACAATGTGATGTTAATACATTTATTTATCACATATTCACATTATTACAATTATACCATATTTACACATGGCCGAAATGATAGTAAATATCAATATTTAAAATTTTGACCTCCTAATTTAGTCCAAAGCGAATCGAATTCGTGTGACTTAATTTCCGCACCTAAAGTATTGAGTAAACCGGTTTCTTTTAGACTTAATTCACACATTTGCATATCATCCTTTCCTTATAAAATATTTTATTGTATAAATAAATTATTCCACAAAATTATTATCATAATTTAATTCTCATTTTAACCCCCACCCCCCCATCACGAAAATTAATTTTGCCCCTTAAACTGAAATACATAGTACCACTGAAAGGAATTAAACCCCAAATAAATATAATTGATGCAGATAGACATAATATCCAATCCACTTTAATAACACAACAGGGAATATATTTTAAATTGTAACAACTATAGAAAATGCACTATGAAAATATGACGACTATGAGTAGAAGATTAATTAAAGATAAATTTTATTTCTTACTGAATATTCAAAATTATACTTATAACAAAATTTTAAAAAAGTATTGCAAAAAAATATGATTATATTGCAAAAACAAATTATATATTAAATTGTAATATATAATTGAGATCAGCAAGTTGATGAAAATGTAGTAATATATTATAAATTGTATTGTGAATTAAATCCTAAAGACAAATGGGTTGAATAATCTAAAAATAAATTATCACCACCTCTTCAGAATTTTATTGAAGATTTCGCATTTTAATACCTACTCCCCCCCCCCCTATAAAATTTCCTGATGCTTCATCTTAATCCCCCCCCCCTCGTGATAGAAGCCACTGCTACTATCCAATTTTTGATTTTTTTCTTCTTATATTATAAATATAACCTTACCGGCTGATAACAAAATTGGATCTTTAGAATCAAAAATCTCCATTTGCCTTGCTACCCAATTCCCATAAAAATGAGCATACCACCAACCATTGTTGCATAATATTCCTAAACTTGAATTTTGCCAAAATGGAACTTTAAAATAGCGATGATTTAGCTTGATGTGATTAGATTCTATTATAAAAAAATATTTCTTAATAGAATGAATAATATTTAGTGGATTCACATTAAATTCAAATGTATATATAGAGGAGGCGGGGTTTATATGGAAGCTGTTTTGCCCTTTTGCGATAAAGTTTTATTTTAAAAGATAAAACTAATTGTATCCTTAGGTAGCCATCATTCGACTACAAGATAAAAAAAATCAGAGGCTTCCTACATTTTATACTGGCGACACTATTTAGGATTAAGCATCCCTTTATACTTACCAACTCCCTGGGCAAGGTGGCAAGCCCTTCGAGATAGCATAGTAAACATCAAATTTAATCGATAAAACAAATTTTTTTATCGTTATTGTTGGAATTGTATTATTCCACGTTTTATCATAGATAATTATACACATTTTTTATTGATTATCATTTTATTTTTAATCATAATTTAAATTTTATTATTTGATAAATTACATTTTTATAATCAAAGATAAATTAAATTTTTTTTAAATCTCTTTATATATCTATTTTAAACAATAATAAAAAAAATAACTAATACAAATTGATGTATAAAAAATGTTAATATAAAATTTTCACCGATTAAATTTAAATACAAAATGATATATAAAAAAATAAATCAATTGCCAAAATAAATAATAAAATAACATCGATCAACATATTCACATTCCACTCTCCAAAGAAATTCGGCTTATGATTTCCTTGGATAAGTTGGGTGGTAACGTCATTAACATTCATGATCACCACGAAATACGCCACCCATGTACATGGTGCAGTCTTCTTTTCAAACCGAACGACGGCTTGGTAAAGTAAAGACAACCCCTAGCTAATTTCCAAACCGGGTCGCTTGTGCATGGCATCGGACATCTAGATTCCTTTCTAGCAAGGTTTATTTTGTCGTGCTTCAGCCAGCAATCCAATTTCTGAGTAGTTGCATCGATCTTGGCGCACGGAATTCTCCTTGAAGGTATGATCTTAGGCACAGCATTGGGCTTCAAGTGAACTTTTTCTTGTCTGACCATTTTGGGTTTGTAGGAATAAGTTGTTTCGAGGTCTTTTTTTGTTGTCGAGATTATCTTCTCGAGATTATTCTCTACATTACCCACTAAGAACGTTTTTAAAATGTTGTTGAAGGTCTAGAGCCACCCACTTACGTCCTAGCAGGGGGATCTTATCACAATCCACTACAATGGCATCCAGTGTATGTGAGTTTCCTTCATACTTAACGTTCACATTGGCAAGACCTAATATCTTGATAGCGCTGCCGTCATAACCAGTGAGTCTCATGTCCGTCTTACGTATCGCGGTTATGCCTACAGTCTTAGCTGTCAGCTTCGGAAGTACACTGTACCTGGCACCGGTGTCAACTTGAATCAACATGGGTATGTTGTTAATGCTCATTGTCACGTTGTACGCGTCATATGTGGTATCCTTGACCCTCATATTGTGCACTTCCAAATTCTGCAGATTATATTCTTTAAGGTCTGTGTTTGAGTCGTCGTCATCATCTATTACTTCGATGTTCATAGCATGGTTCGTATTCAATTGACAATCACGATCTTTGTAATCAGAAGATCTATTGTAAGTATTATTGTCATTTATGTACTGGTTGGGCCTCGACGAATATTTCTGAAAACCATTAATATTTTGAGGGATGTGTCTGTGCTGACCACGACGGGAATAGTTGGTTCGGTTATCACCTCTATAGCAGTCATCCCGTAGATCAGGGCTTTGATGATGGTCACAATGATAGTCGTGGCGATTGCCAGGACGTTGTACCCGCTATTGTTGCATCGATCGTCGTAGTAGTTATCGTTGAGATTATCGAAACGGTTGCGGTTATAGTGACAATCATCGTAACTTTGATCCAAACGATTGTCGTGGAAGTTGTTGTGCCGTCCGTTGAATCGTTTGTCGCGGTCATTGTCGTAGCGTCCGTTGAATCGTTTATCGCGGTCGTTGTCGTAGCATCCGTTGAATCGTTTGTCGCGGTCGTTGTCGTAGCGTATATCGTAACGTTCATCAAATCGTTTGTCACGGCAATAGTCGCAGGTAAATTGTAACGTTCATCGAAATGCTGTGCGGGGCGATTGTCATTGATGAACTGAGGTTGCTTGATAAGAGATTTACCATGTGCGTGAGAGTCCTGAATGGCATGTGATTAACCTCTTGTACACCAAGTGATTCATTCAAATGTAACAACTTCATCTCGCCCTTGATGCCATTTGGCTCCGCGGTGTCTTCCTCTAGACCTAGATTGTAAATGTCTTCTATGGTCATAGAGCTCTTGATCGCTTTCCTGACATCTTTGGAATACGAAGATACTCTCACTTTCTCAATAATACTCTGAATGCCATTAAATTTACATTCTTTGTTGAGTCGTGCTACACGCGTGACCAAAGCCGAGAATGTCTCATCCTTGCCTTGAGTTGCAGCATAAAATAATGATAGTTTAGCGTTCTCGGTCTTCGATGGATGTTGTAACTTGAATTTGCCAAGCAGGGCGATTGGGTCCTGGAAGTCTACCTCAGTGCAAATTGCCCCAATATTATTGAATTCGTCATCAGGAAGACTTCGGAGAAATAAAGCGGCCTTTTCTCCGTTGGAGATCTTGCTGGTGTTGAAGAAATTTTGCAATTTCCCTATGTAGGCGCTGTCATCGCTACTAAATTTGGGGAAATCCAGCTTGACAAATTCAGTCATATGTGTAGAAGCATCCATCGTAAGAGAATTATAATCGATAAAGGCGTGAAATAGAATAAATGTACATTGTAAAATCAAGATCAAATTTTGAGATAGTACTTACGAAAAGTTCGGACGTAGATTGACCTCCATGTTGGAATTGTATTATTCCACATTTTATCATAGATAATTATTACACATTTTTTATTGATTATCATTTTATTTTTAATCATAATTTAAATTTTATTATATGATAAATTACATTTTTATTTTCAAAGATAAATTACATTTTTTTTATCTCTTTATATATCTTTTTTTAAACAATAATAAAAAAAATAACTAATACAAATTGATGTATAAAAAAAATGTTAATATAAAATTTCCACCGATTAAATTTAAATACAAATTGATATATAAAAAATAAATCAATTGCCAAAATAAATAATAAAATAACATCGATCAACATATTCAACAGTTATAATTAATATATAATTAAAATAAATTTTCAATATTTTAAAAAAATTGATAAATGCACCCATAAAATAGATCATTTCTGGCACAAGAATGTGCCCCATTCAAAACAATTAGTGAAAAACTTTGGCGCTTTTTAATGTTAATCTAACTTAAACGGCCCATTACACAATTCCAATCCTTTTTTAAAAATCATTTTTACACTAAAAAAAATTATATGATGCTAATAATTCTTGTAATTTCTTTTATTTCCCCTCCCCTCTCCCAAATATTTTTCAGGCAAAAGAAGAATTGAAATTGTAAAATTAGCTTAGCAAAACTATACTTCCTACTATACTTCCACATAGTGTTGCAAAATCGCTCCATTTGCGCCGTTTTTTTAATAATGGCTCTCAGTATTTTATCTATAAAAATATTATGCAAGCCTGAAGATTTTGCTTATGGATACACAAAGTTTTTGACATCTAATATTGAAATCACAAGGCTTGGGGAATATCTCTGACTAAAATATTGATAGCCGTTTTTAAAAATTATCTCAAATGGAGCGATTTAACATCATTACTTTACACCCCTAATTTCTCCCACTTCTCTTTCTCTCCTATTATATTTCCTTGACTTGCATCATACCCCCCCCCCGTAGTACAGTTACCTGCTATCATGATTAGATAGTGAGTCAGCTATATCAGTTATTCCGAGACCTAAATTGTTTTGAGTATTGTAGAGATAATATAACACGGTTTATCTCTTATAATATTATTAAAAATATAATCGGTAAAAAAAATATCAGGGTATAGGAGATAGATTTCATAGGCAGAAAACCTTCTTAAAATATTTTGTAAGGTCGTTCTCTTGGGGAATTCTGGCTTATTTTTTAAAAATATATTATTCTAAAACCATGAATTGGAGAACTCGATAGGTTCAATTGAGCTGGGATTCTGCATTCATGCCCGTTTATACTCGTTTCATATTTATGCTGATTTAGAGCTTTCCATTCGTGATAAACTTTAAGTCTTCTATGAAATTCTTCTCGACACGATTCTAATAATTCTATATCTGATATTATAATTTTATATTTTTTAAACTTTAGTAAAATAAAAAGTTTAAAATAGAATCTATTTTGTATATATTGCCACGGATTTGCAAATTCAGGAATATAATTTTTTTTATTACAACTTAAATTATTTATAATGCGAGTTTTTCTTTTAAATTTTGAAAAACATTATTTTGCCAGAATCGTATTTCAGCATGTATAGAGTAATTTCAGACAATTTTACTATAAATTTTTGTCTATTTTTTAAAATTTATATTAAATAAATATTATTCTAGTTATTGTAACGGTTGCTAAGATTTATGCGGATTAGCTTATAGAGTAAGTAATATATTCAGGTGAACGTTTTAGATTTAAATGCATATGATATAAAATAAAAATTAATAATTGATAGTTAAATGGTATTTTTGTGTTTATTTACTATGGTAAGCATAGGGAAATTCAATTTATAATGATTTCGATTAATAAAATAATATTATAATATAATATGTCCTAAAGTAACTTTTAAAATAACATATTATATAACTATTACTATTACTTATATCAAAAATTAAAATAAAATAGTTCAAATAATGTTGACAACAAAATTGAATTAAAATTAACAGTGTATACAAGGTATTTTGACATCCTGGAATACGATTCCTAAAAAAATCAGGTCATCAAGATTTACGCACGCTTGTAATAATTGAAATTTGTAAAATTCCCTAAAATGACCAGGGCAATGCAACATAGCGTTAAATATTCGAAAACCCTAAGTATGACAGGATTTAAATGGGAGGGGTCTACATTATTTTAGAAATTATCAGTGAAATTTGAGATTATCTATCAACTAATGGCATATTTTTGATAAAATAGATATGAAAAACTTATTTTAAAATATAATTTGGCTTTAGAGATTTTCATAATCATCCTATACATATAGGATTTCGTACAATATATAAATTTATTGTATAATATGCTATAATAAAGATATATCTTATTTTTTACCACACGAAGTATTTATAGTGTCTCGTAACTCGGTGTATTTCCAATTGCTAAGGTTGTATTTGCGTGAGCTGATTTCATTTTTTTTTTCGTAAAATAAATATTTATTACTCTCTAAACACTAATGATAACCTTAATTATGTATTTTCAAGCAATAGCACTTTTATTATATCCATTCAGAGGTTTGGAAACTATTTTTTTTATAATATGTCCTTACGTAGTTAATTATATTGACTTTGTGGTATATGTTCTATGCAAATTATACACATAAATTCGTTACAAAATATGATAATTCTGATCGTTTTACTAGAATTATGATTTCCTCTCATTATAAACCTTTTCATCAAAAACATTTTATTTAAATAAAAACTATTTTAAAACAATTTTGTAGCAGTAGCGACACTATAAGGGGGAGAGGGAAAAGCGCAAGGCTCGAGCCCCCTGAAAAATTTGAAGAGCCCGCTCAAAATTTTGATTTTTTATACCACTAAAAATGGTATTTTAGATAAGGTTAGCCAAAAATAGGTTTTTGGAAATAATTTTAAAAAAAATTTTGAGCCCCCTTAACTTAATTCCAATATTTATGCCATACCGAACAAATTCGATTGGGTTTGCCTGATAATTATTTTCCATAAATTTGCCATCGTGATTGTCGTATTCGTTTTCCGATTTTGTAATATGACCATTTAGCTTTCTGTATTGAAAAATTATATTAACTCTTCCAGATTAATTTCATATCCTTAAACTCTACTCTATAAATAATAATCAGCTTCTTTAAAATAGGGTTAGTCAGATATTATACTAAAATTATATTATTGATTTTGAATTACAAATATTATTCAATTCTTATCAATTAAGTTATTTTCTTTTTATTAGTAATATAAATACGAAGGCCATAGATTACATCATATTAATTAGAGCTGACAATGGATTAATTTAACTGGTCAAATATCTTCAATCAGTAATTTCATGTTCAAAATGCAAGAGGAAATTTGTCATATCATTATATCTCAAGAATATTTTTTTAAATCAACCTATGAAAAAAAAAATCTCAATACACATGCTAACTAATAATGCGACATATTAAACAAATATCTAATAAGAAGTCAAACATTCTTATGCAATATGATAGAAGTTACAAAATATTGGTGAAAGGGGCTATTTCTTCTTCATGAGAATCGGCTAATATTTTACTAACATATTATAGGCGGAAATTTTCAGAAAAAAATTGCTCAATTTGTGGTAACATTCATAACAAAAATATAAATCTTTTGAAAATCCATACAACATTAAAATTGTATCAGCGTATATACCATACCAAGTTTAATGAAGGGCATATAAAAAATTGATAATAACCGTGTTGATCAGATCTCTGCATCAGAGAAGTTACACCTAAAAGTTATGCTGGAATGAATTATGAAATTACATATTTACCATATTAAATTAAAAATGAAGTTAATACTCTCAAATTTATTTGAATTGTCCATATTTGGTGAGTAAAATATCGGTTTTGATTATGTATTTGACCAGTCAAATCACAATCCTGGGTATACAAATGGTTATTATACTTATATTATCGAGAACTCAGATTAGGCATGAATAAACCGTGATTAAATATAAAACGATTTAAACTAATTATATAATTTACTTCTCGGTAGATTCTGATTTAGGAATTTCTTTAACCTGAAAACATGATTAAAATTTTATAAAATAACATGAATATTCTAATATTTAATGATAAAGTTTTAAATTATATATATATGTTAGCGGTAATGTATTTTTTCCGGCAATGTTATTTTTTCAAATTTGAATCATTTGTTGCGTGCGTTTTTTTTAAATTTTAGATTTTGATTTTACGAGAAACTACCTATGAATTTCAGACAATTTTGCCATGAAATTTTCAACTTAATTTATTTATATTCGTTTTTCTATAGATATTTTCTATAAATTGTAAATAACTCAAAGGTTAGCGGCAAAATTGCCTATAATTCATAATGGGTATCTAAGCATGCTCGAATATATTTCCAGAAAAATCAGATTTTTTAAATTGAAAATAGCCCTCAAATAATTATTCCAAGTTGAAAAAATAATACGCTACCGCTGACATACATATATAATTAAACCAAAGTGAATAACCAGAAATCATATTAATTTAATAAATATTAAAATTAATTAATTTGACATTTTGTCAATTCGCGAGCGTAAAAAATATAAAATTTACCAAAATGTAAATTTAAGAAAATCTCTATGAAACTCCAAAAAAGGGTATTACAAAAATGAACAATTAAATCTAGTCATTAATAAAATATTATTATTTTTAACTTTGTTAATCCGGCATTCTTTAACATGCGAATCAACTCTACTCTTAATATTTAAACTCAGTTCCGACAAAGTTTGCGACATTTTTTCAATGACAATATCGGTGTCATTTCCCGCCGAGTTGTGGTCGTCGTTTAACTTAATATTTTATTTTTATAAAAAATAGCAAGATCAAGATTTAAAACCAATATTTTCTAAATATTAAGATTTTGCAAAAAAAATTATGTCTAACTCTTTCACATTTAGGACAAAATCTCGAGGCTTCAATAATATTTTTTGACTAATATCTTAAGTTAGTTGCTTTTAAAAATCGACTAAATCTAGCCGATATAATAACTCTAAATGTGAGTATCGACTATTGATGGGCACTTAATATAAATCAAAATTATGACTTTAAATCCCCCGAAATAAAAGATGTTGGGAAAAGTGCTAAATAAAACTTTATAACCGAAAGTAAAGAAATTTTTGAAACCGTCATGTATTGCTAAGTTCAATATAAATTTATTTAAAAATTATTTATATTTTATTTATCTAACTTTTATCTGAACTCTGAGATTCCTTAATGATGCTCCAATATTATTAATTAAAGGTTCCCGTTTCTCTGGAGGCAGTTCGCTTACAGATTTACAAATCATATCATATTGTCTTTGCAATTTATTTATCTTAATCAGGGCTTCGTATCTAATAACAAATATACAATTTAAGATTACTATATCATTTATCAAAAACCTCCAAGCCTGGCTCAACTCTAAGCCCGGGTACAAATGCCGAGCCGTTTTTTTTTTAAATACCCAGGTCAGGCCGAATATTTTAAATCGCCATTATTATCTATAAAAAAAAATATAATATAATAGATTTTTTTTAAAGAAATCTGGGCAGGGCCGAAATTTTATTTTTAAAAAAATATCCAAGTCGGGCTTGAAAATATAAAACGCTGGCCGGGCAGAAAAGTTTTTAAAAAATCCGGGCAGGACCATGCAAATGATACCTCTGCAGATCTCTGTCATATATTTATTTTTTTACTTTCGTTTATATTTTTTCTTGGACAGGTACATGCGTACGTTTTTCTGGCATATGATCAAATTTTTCGTCCGCCATTCTATTTTTTTCCTCACTTTTAATAAAATATAAATAAATTTTATATATAATATATTCTTCTTAAATTGTATTTGAGTTTCATTAATTTTATAAGGTCAAAACTTTTATTATATATAATATAATATTAATCAGAAGTTATATATAACTAGTAGATAGCCCGTCAAAAATGACGGGGAATGAAAATTTTCTTCTTACTTTTATGCATATTACCTGTTATTTGAAAATAATATCCAATTTTTATTTTTCTTAACCCCTCATCCCTTCAGGCCAGGTTTAATCCATTAAAACTAAGTGCTATGGTTTGAGTAAAAATAAATTTAAAGCATTTACTTGATAATACCAATATTATTTGTTAAATATTACTGATTACTTATACCTAATATTTAATATTAAAAAAAATTTCCAGGCAAAGTCCAAAGCCATATCAATTATGAAAATTCTTCCAAGCCCAATGAAAGATCATAATAATTTTGGTAGTTGAGAACTGAAATAAAATATTTAAATAATCATAATGAATTTAAAAATCAAAATTCAGATTTTCATGGGCCTTGGTTTTTTGATCAGGTCAAGCCCAGGCCTGCAAAAAAAGTTGTTTTGGGCCAATGTCTGACCTATAATTAATAATAAAAAAATTCTCAAGCGTCCAAGCTCATAATAATTTTGAAAAATTTTCCCCAAGCCCAGCCCAATAATATTTATAAAAATATAAGCCCAGCCCAACCCATAATAATTTTATAAAAAAATTTTCACAAACCTGGCTAACCGATAGTAGTTTAAATTTTTTTTCCAAGCCTGGAGATAGGTAAATCTCTAAAAACCATATCTATTTTTTAGTTCTATTTTAACCCAGCTCACCCCAACCAAGGCCAACCTATTAAGACTAAGAGTGAATACTATTTTTTTGAATAAAAATATATTTAAATTAGATTTTACATGAGGGCCATATAAATATTCTGTGTTAAATATTACACCTATGCCTAATATTAAAAAAATTCCCAAGCCAGGTCCTCGCACTTGGTTTTCTCAAACCCGCAAAAGACCATGATAATTTTGATAGTTGAGGACTGAAATAAAATATATAAAAAGTCTCAATGCATTTAAAAATACAATCATAATATGAAATTTGCATGGGTCTTGGTTGATCAGGCCTTGCCATGTCTTCAAAAGAAATTTTCAGACCAATTTCTAGCCCATATTTAAAATTAAAAAATTTACAGGAATCTTAGACTATAATAATTATGAAAAATGTTTCTCAAGCTATGTCCAAATTCATATTAATGGTGAAAAATATTTCCCAAGCCCAGGAAAACCCAAATAATTTATTTTGATCCAGAAAAATAGGTCTGATGTAAGGGGTTTATAAGAATTAAATCTGTCTAATTTCAAAATTATTATCAAATGAAGGGTAAATATCTGATTTACCTATGATTCTACTGATGAGCTCCTGGTATTTATATGAAATTCATAGATATACTGTTCTGAAAATATGTTCATCTTAATTTAAATTTTAAACAAACCAAAAGATTTATTACTTATTTACAAAATATAAAATTAAATTTAAGAAATTGTTATTAAATTACAATAGAAAAAATAAAAAGATATGTCTAAGTTATGAGGTAAACTTCAATCAAAGTCAAATTATATATAAGTGAAACAAAAAGGTTATACATTTAATCAAAAATGTTATAAGTTATGAATAACATACATTCTACAATTATGAAGTTATGAGTAAATATACAAAATTTTCCTATCTTATGAGGTTTTATTTAAAAATTTATATTTATTTTGGGGTTATTCTAAAATTTTCCATTATTTTTATAAAATGTGTTAATGATTTGATCAGGCCTGGCTATGTCTTCAAAAAAAATTTCAGACCAATCTATAACCCATATTTAAAATTCAAAAATCTTAAAGCACCTCTATTTTAAATTTTATCCTATATGATTTCCATCACATTTTTAAATTTTGATATTTCTAATACATACTCACAGTATACATTGCAACAATTTTACCTCTTTTACTCTTAAATTTTAATATATATATAAAATTTATTAAAACTAAATAATTACCCTTCAACCCATGGTTTTTTGATCAGGCCTGGCTATGTCTTCAAAAAAAATTTCAGACCAACCTATAACCCATAATTAAAATTCAAAAATCTTAAAGCACCTCTATTTTAAATTTTATTCCAGGCGCGTAACCAATGGGGGGAGGAGGAAGGGGAAGGGGGGATTTTCCCCTCCCCATCGCAAATTTGACTGTTTTCATAAATATCATTTTAAGCTAATAAAAATTTTACCCCCCCCCCCTTCCCTCCTCAATCAAAATTTTACAAATATTTGAATATCAATTTTCCAACATAGTATTCAAAAATATTAATAAAATGGAAAAATATTTAGTCAAAGAGTTGAAATCAAACGATGATTTATTTTATTATTATATATATTTATTTTATTAAATTCAAAATTATTAGTGAGTTAGAATTAATAAGTATTTTTAATAATATTTTATAAATATCTATATTTAAATATTTTACATTTTTACTTCCATTTTGTAGAACAGAAGAAATAGAAATACAAAAGTTAAATAAGGCTGAGCATGAAAAAAAGTTATGTGTCGTCAGAAGCGATATCATTATTGAATTCAATTGATCAATCAGAGTTTATCATTGCTGCTAGTTGCATCAATAAATTATTTTTAGCTCAATACTTTGTAGAAATTTACAAAAACCAAATTTAGATTTGGTTCAGGTTATTGATTAGGCGGAAAATATATATGAAGAGGTTGATACAATAAGAATGAATGTAGAAGGCTAAATTTTAAGATATAACACTAATTAAACCTCGTCTAGCACCTAGGCCATTATTGAGATGAAAATAAATATTGGCTCATCTGAAGAATATTATAAAATATCCATTTTCATCCCATTCTTAGATACTTTTTATCGCAAATTACGGTTTTTAGATAAAAAAAACAAGTCTTTAGCAATCTTCAAGCTTTATTACCCAAAGATCCTTCTTCGTTTTCTAATGCCACTATTGGTAAAATTAAATATTTAGCAAAATTTTATTCCTATGATATAGATACTGAAATAAATTTAATCAGTGAATTCGAATTGTGGTATAAATATTTACTACGTTTAGCTATTTTACCTGAGCATGCTATTGATGCGCTCAAACGGAGTAAAGAAACTTTGGCTCAATTTCCTAATATTTTGAAGTTGTTTTATATTCTTGCATGTTTTCCTATTACAACATGTACGAATGAAAAGACTTTTCCAACTTGAGAAGGTTGAAAACATATTTAAGAAGTACTACTTCCGAATCTCGGCTAAATGGGTTAGCTCTGTTAAATATCCACAGATATTTGGTTCCGACGACAAACGAAATTCTTGATGAATTGGCAACATTCCCACGAAAATTAATCTCATTATAATTATAGTATTTAATAAAAAATTTTGTATATTATTGTATTTGATAAGAAGTTAAAAAAACTTGTTTTTTTAATTATTTTTTAGTCAATATTTTATACACACTACTATTCGTATTTTCAATAAAAAAAATTATATTCTACTTATATTGTATGAGAATTTAAGCTGAGGCTAGTTTTTAAAGCAAATTTTATAAAAAAAAAGACATTAAACTTTATGTCAACTTTACATTTAAAAAAACTTTATTAAATATAATATTAACAAATAATAAAAAATAGGCTTGTAATATCCATAAGCACGAATTAGTAAATAATAGTTAAAAATAGAAATATAATTATTATTATAACTAAAACATAAGACCCGGCCGAAGGCCAGGTAAAAAGGGTTTGGGGGCGAAGCCCCAAAAAATTCCCCCCCCCCCTATAAGAAAAACCTGGATACGCTACTGTTTTATTCAATATGATTTCCATCACTTTTAAATTTTGATATTTCTAATACATGCTCACAGTATACATTGGACCAATTTTACCTCTTTTACTCTTAAATTTTAATATTTATATAAAATTTATTAACAAAGTATATTTAATACCATACACACAAACTATATAATTACCCTTCAACATCTATATAATTAATATTTTAAATTTAATTATATTCAAGTTGGTATGCGAGAGCAAAAAATTAACATTACACTATATAGTCTCCTTAAATTTAAAATACATTAGGGAGATACGAAAACGATCGTGTTTTGATTATGGAGATAAAATTAACATTACACTATATAGTCTCCTTAAATTTAAAATACATAAGGGAGATACGAAAACGATCGTGTTATGATCATGGAGATTATAAGATTATATTGGTAAACTTTAAATCATTTTGAGTGCGTTTTTTTATAAATCCGATTCTGTAGGAAATGCATTCCAGCATGTTTAGAATATCTAGCCTATGAATTTCAAACAAAATTGTTGGCAAAATTTTCATAAAAAATTCATGGAAAAACTAATATAAATTCAATATTGTTCGAAAGTTCATGGCAAAATTTCCTAAAAATCGCTTATACGTTTTCTACACATGCTTAGTATATATTTCCAGCCTAACTATAATTTTTAAATTTATAACCGACTCGGGAAAAGATCTAAAGTTCAAAAAATAACGCCTTAACTGAAAAAAAAACATATTGACGATAAAATATCATCGCCAGGGAATTAGATTATTCCATTTCCACTTTTTTTTTATTTTACAGGGAGAAAATTTAAATATTAAGTTTCTATTGTTTACATTAGGATGGTTAAATTTATATTAACTACCAGTTTTTTATGTAAATAGAAATGTATAATTATAAAATATTGATTTATAAAGTGGATATGGAGTAATCCTGGGTTCCCGTTCTAAATCGCTAAAAATTGGGTATATCATTTATATCTCTTAGAAAATTTTTAAGGTAAATTTGGATTTAATATTAATAGATGCTAGCGAAGTCAAAATTGATTTTTTTTAAAAAATCGCTAAAAACGATAGTTCCCAAAATTTAAATTTACCTAAAAAAATTTAGGAGATATAAGTGATATTTCCAATTTTTCGTGATTTAGAACCTATCCCTTCTTAGCTATATAAAAATGATATAAGAAAATTTTAAAATAAGTAATAACACAAAAGTATAAAAAAAGTAGTAAGTAGTATATACGAAATTAAAATATATTAAACAAATTCCTATTTGATTTTCGTCAATAAATTTATTTACTTTTGATAACGCACAATGTGCACCATTGAACCCTCCTCCATTTAGCTTTGATAATATACGTTTTGAGTCTCTCGATGTGAGATTTTATGTTTTCCGCATCGTTCCTAATCAAATCGTCGAATTCGGCAAATTTACCGGATCGAAAGAATATCTTAGATGTCCCGAACTCGAAATCAGTTTCTTTCAACCCAACCGATTTGAATAAATACTTGTAATGGGAAGTGTAAATAAAATAAAATTTAGGAATTTAATTAATCAAAATCTAACTTATTGATTTTTATATGGTTTTCCTTATATTAAATATATCCAGAAAATCTGAACTAACATTCATTAAATATATAAAAATAGTCTAGTAGGTCTAATTTGATCTCAATGATAGGGTAATGATGAGTTCATAATCTTTCTCATGTAATTACTTTGCAAAATATGCGTATATCCATGCGTTCCATGCTACTCGGTAGATAATTCGTGTAACGATTATAAAAATCAAGAGTAGGAACTTTCGCTGGAAACCCATATTCCATGAGTTTTAAGACTTCTAAGGTCCCAGATGATTCTAATTGGTGAAGGATATTGGCACCCTCGAATTCATGCTTTGTCATCCGAGAATTCGGCTTGATACATTTTATGAAATTGGTGTTCTAAAATATTTTAAATACATATATGTTAAAACTCACTTCAGCCGGAATATTATTCTATTTAAATCTGTTAGATTTGTATAACTCATAAATAAATTTTCATGACTATCTATTGAACCAAAATAGTTTACATATATCTCATCAATTTACCCATATTAGAATATATTAATGCATCAAAAATAATCGCTACTTAAGAAAATATAAGCGTTTACTTAAGCATAAAGTTGTCAATCTAGCACTATTGTGACTAATTTATTTACTCTAATTTAAATATTCATATATATAATTCTCGTTTACAGGGGTAAGAAGGAATTTTATTATTAAGCCATGGCGTAATTAGACAGTTAAAATACATGTATATTATATGTTATGAATGATCAATGATTGTCCTAGGACTTAGTCAAATAAATGACCTTGGAGCCTTAGGCAAATCTAATGATAAAAAATTTATATAATATATATTACTGATCCAGAAAATTTATCGAAGAGTGCCTTTAATTGACTCCGAAATTTACTACTCACGCTTACGGTAGTCAATTTGCCTTTTATATATTTATTATGACTATTCTTTAAATGTAAGTGGCTATTATTGACTGTTGGATCGGAAAATATCTTTCGAATCAGTGGATTATTGCTTTCTTGGATCAAGGTTAGCAGAGATATGTGTAAATTATCATTATTTTTTTCAATGAATAAATTCTTGATTGAGAAATATTTATATAAAAAAATGTTTATTATAATTTAGAATAATATCAATTTATAGACAATTTTTTAACTTTCTAGAGGCAATCTGTATCAACATAATAAAATAGTTTAATTAATTCTTAAATTTTATGATCACGACCCTATTAAAATCTATTTCAAATTTGATGTCAACATTTATTTTCCCATTATTCAAAATTTGGAGAATGGAGCAATCTTCCAGTTATATATAGTGATAGTTAATATAAAGAATTTAAAAAATATATGTAATACGGTATTATAGCACACAGACCCGGCGTAATGCTTTATAATAAATCCTTCGTGATTCAATAACTGTTTGTGAAACCTATGGGTTGACTTCCTTGGAACATCAATTCTTATGTTTTCTGCATGCGTTTTATGGACTGTTTCAGTGAAATGATGCGAATTAGAATTGGTCATTCTATTCTCTTCGTCTAATATATCGAATATTCCTACATTTTTGGAATCTAACAATTCTAAATAGTGGGAAATTTTATTTGTTTAAAAGTTTGTCTTATACAGTTTAATTCTTACCGATAACATCCGTATCATCATTTATCTTTACTTCTTTGACCTTCAATCCCTCACGCTTGTATAATTCTTGTTCCTACAAATTAATGTTTTTAAAAAAATATATATTATGACATTTGTTTTTAATATAAGTATATGTAATATATCGTCGATTTCCCTGCAAGACCTCCTAGACATTTATTTTTAAATTTTTAAAAACAAAAATTTCAGGGGGATTCCATAATAATATATATTCAAAAAATATATATTAAAATAAGATAATTTTTAAAATTTAAAAACGAGTTGCCTGTTTGTGGATTATAAATATTATGTAGGTTCCTGATTTTTTATAAATATTTTTTAGTCCGGCTAGGGTTAAATATGTCGGAGGGTTTTTTTTTAGCAAACTTTCATTGCCTAGGGTTTGGGAGAAATTTTTAAAACTTAAATAATTATAGTACGCGTTTAATTTTAAGAGACCTGATATTTCCGGAATTATATTCTAGCATGTTTGGAATAGAAATGACCTGGGCATTTCTGCAGGCGTGACAAAACTGTGAAATCCAATATTTTTTATTACTAATAAAAATTAGATGCCTGAAATTTGTTAATAGTTACACGTAGACAAAATTGGCAATTAAAGAGGTTATAGGGTAGAAGTTAAATCCACAAAAAGAGTTTTTAAAACATTTTGAAGACAATATAATTGATTTAAGGGTCTTAACTTATCACTGCGAATCTCAGACAATTCATAAATTTTTAGCATATATTCTTTAATTTATATGAAAAATTTCTGTATAAAAAATTAATATTAACTAGACATAATCCAAAAGTTAATTCACAGGTTAGGTAATCTCAACTAGTGAAGGTCACGATCTGGTATTTGATCTGAACCAGACCGATGCACTCGGACCGGGCTACGGTCCTCAAATAAAAGCCCGATCTAAACAGTCGCCCTAAATAAATATAAAATATTTAAGAAATATTTTAGTTTCTACCTAATTTAATTCATGACATTTTATTAAATATAAAAATATTTTGTTAACGATGTCAAATCAAATTTGAATAATATAATAAATAATACAAATATTTAATTTAAAAGTAAAATGCAAATTTGAATTCGTTTTCATAGTTTATTGCATAATATAATGAACCAAAAGAGAAAACGAATCTCAAAAACTAAAATAACTCCTCTGGAAAAATAATATAAAATAAAATATATACAAAAATTTAATGAATTGGAAGAGCATATCTAGTGTTAATAAGTTTGAAAATAATTAAAAGATCAGTCCGGACTGCTGCCTTGAAAAAGGTTGATCCGCCATTCGGTTCGGTCGTATCTCGGTCTAAGACCGTTAGGATCGGACCGTTGATCTTCACTACTCTTACGCTGAAATAGGATTATGGATAAATAAAGCCTTTTAAAATTAAAATAAACGCACGTTATAAATTATTTAAGGTATAAAAATTTTTCAAAAACCAAGATTCCCTAATCCCATATGACTTTATCATTTCTTTTATTTCTTGCTATAATTATGATGAAGATAATTAATTCTAAAATATGTTTTCATAGATTGAGTTCTATTTTTTTTTAACTAAAATTGTTCATACTTGAATTAACACAATGCTATTAAAATAATTTTGAATCCTTTCGTTACAATAGTTGATGCAAAATTGTTCGAAACTGTTGTTTTCGAAAAACTCTAATATATATTTTATTCTTTAGTTTATATATTTTAAAAATCAATTTACCAAAGCCGGCAATATCTAAGACTCCTACAAATTTTTTGGAATCTTTGAAAGGAATGCTTTCATTGATGATTTTGTTGATGTGATCAAACAATTTGGAATAAATAGCTTTGGACAAAGAGTCGCGATAGATTTTAGCTTCCGACATTTTTAATGGAATTCTGTTTTTTTAAAAGACAAGACACTAAAAGATAAATTTTTATAAATTTATTTCAAAATAATTTTATATTGTTTTTAATTGTAAAAAATGGAAATTCGATATATATTATTTTTTCCTTGTATAATTTATTAGAATAGATATTCCATAGTTTAAAAAAAATTAATCCACTTTAGACACTTCTAGGTACCAAGGAGAGGGAATGACGCAAGAGCGTTATTAAAATAAAATAAAGTGTGGAAGATATGAGAGAAATTGGGGGGGGGGGGGGGGTAAAATATGGGTAGGAATTGGGTGTGAAAATATTTAGGGGGTACTATCGTCATTGGCTTAGGAGAATGTAAGAGTGTCTGCTCTTGGGAAAAGATAATTAATTTCAGCATATAGAATTTAATGTCCTACTATCCCTTACAGGCTTACTTATTTCTAAAATTTCTTATTAACGAAAAGAATAAAATCAATAATATCATAGAAAATTATAAATCAGAATGTCGAATTGAACCGAACCTCGAAAACAGTGAACCTTAATTTATTTTTATTTTTATCATCTTATCTCTTTATTCTTAGGTATATTTCTCTAGGCATTTTTTTTTAAATATATTATATTAAACTAATTTGTATTACATTTTGTAATTTGTTCTTTTTAACTATTATGGATTTGGTTATGTAAATGTTATCTACTTATAATATATTAGTGATAATTTATTGTTATAAAAATGAAAAGTATAGCAATAATTTTTAAAAAAAGACGCATATAAGGTGATTTCAATTTATCTCAAAATGCGCGATTGAATAAAGAAATTAATATTGCATTTTCCAATTTTCTAATTTCTTCCATAAAATCAAGAAAAATAAAGTTAAAAAATAAGATGCATTCTGTGCTTTTCTATGATTCTCGATATCAAATATTATCTATCGTCAGATGACAAAATAACAGAACTATGAATCATTTTATACAAACTTGACATGTAACTAAAATACGTTGTGATGATATGATATTCACTTATTTCAAGTCAAAATAATTATCCAGACCACGAAGATGATTTTCAATGTTTATTACAAATGAAAGAAAATAACAATGTTGCACAATACAAAATATCATTTAACGGTATCGAACGGAATAAAAACATCGCTATATTTGCATGTTGGGAAGGAATAAAAATTAGAACACCCGATGCCAATCTATTAGCAATAATAGCCATGTCTGTCCCAGCTATATAGGATTAGGTTGAAAGAAAATAAGATTGAAACATATTCTATCATCACAGAGAACAAGATTTGACAAAAGATATATTAGATGATAATTTTATATACAATAAATATTGAAAATAAAATTTTCTGTTAGCTTTAAAGTGTCTTTATTTTTCTTGAGATTAAAATTATTTATGAACATATATATGGGTTATAAAGCTATATATGGGTATCCCGAATAAAAAATAATTACTACTGAACCTCTATGAACTATTATTTAAAGGTCTTTGAACCTGAACCAAACAAACCTTTATAGAATCTAATTTTCTTAACCTAAAACGAATCTAAAACTTTATAAAAAAATTTCTTGAACCTGGCCGAACCGAACCTATATATCAAAAGGCTCGGCACTCTAGCTCCATTATTAAATAACATTTCTTTAAATTGGTATTAAAATTTGTAAGAATATAGTCATTAATATTGATTGTTTATTTGATTTTTAGAGGAGCTATATCAGAGGCCTAAGTGAGGCGAATTCAAAAATATTTACCTAGGCCAGGCCCATGAAAAAAATTAATTAAGCCCAATTCAGCCCACAGTCTAAAAAGAAAATAATTTTAGCTCAGGTTTAACCAATAGTTATTTTAGACATCTAAACCTGGCCCGCAGTCTACAAAATAATATCATGTATCGTTTTTTGCTTTATAATTTAATATTTTGATTTTCTCCATTCAATTTAGGCCCGGTACACGCGTGCAAAAAGCTTAAATCAAAGGCCAGTCCTTTTTAATTTTATTTCCAGCTTTGGACTGATAAATCGTGGGCCAGCCCGGGGCAAGCAGGCCTCTAAGCTATATTATCTGAAATTTAGTTTTCATGACCTAGCAATTAATATATATGATATTATTTATAATAACTGTATGATAGTTCCTCTCGAGACTTTACTCGTTATCATTCTGCGTACCAATCTGTTTTGTAAATCTTTCTCGTCCAAGCCCAAAAATTCGGAGGCATATTTTAAATAGTTTTTGCTATTGTTCGCTACCTGACACCCATCTGAAAGGTGGTATATAAAAGTATTTAAAGAAGTTTTTGCATCCTTTGCCATTAAAAACAAATTAAAATGATAAAACTTTAAACTTTAGTAGTAATAGAAGTTGACAATGTGGTGGGCGTGGAAACCTTACTACACAGTTTTGGTAAATTTCATCTTATGCCTAATAAAAAAATTTCCTAAACTCCCCTCACCCCGTCTTCCCTAAGAATGACTACTATATATCATTATAACCATATAAATGGGGGAGGGGGGGGGGGCAAAATTACCATTTTTATCATTGAGGATTTCTTGAAATTCTATATTTCCCAAATGAATTATCGCTGCGATGATAGAATAAATTTGTTTTCTTGAAGCTTCAGATAATCCAATTTTTCCCAAACATGAATCAGTCCTTTCAAAATCTTTGTAATCGTCTATCAGTACATCGCCATTGGAATAGCAATTCGAACCGTGTTTCGATAATATCTTTTAAAAAAAAATTAAAATACATTATTTTTACGAATAAATTGGTGGCATAAAAGAAGGAAATAAATCCATAAGATTTTTTTTTAAATTTTGAATGTAATTATAAACCAGAAAACCATGCGATTAACTTTATACTTATAGTCATCACTTAACCACACAAAAATATTTTGATTTAAAAAATGCAAGGCTATTACATATAAATAGCCAAAATAAATTAGATCTAATTTATGCACAATTTAAAGAAAAAATTTACCATTTCTTTTAGTTAAAATCATTTACACATACTTGCATGGTTTGAGGATTGTTTTTCTCGAGCTGGGATTGGGATTCTGGGGATAAAAAGTAATTTACTCTCCCGCTCGTTAAAACCTTTAAAAAATATATATATGCACTACAGTAGGGTTGAGATTTTTAAAACTTAAAAAAAAAATTAATTTAACTTTTTTTAAAATAAGTTAAATCTTAAAGATTTAAACAGAAGATCTAGCATAGTTCTACTAAACAATCTTATATTTTTTTCATATATTTTTGTTCTTCTGATCGAAACTAATCATATTATTTATTGGAAAAGAATTATTAAATTATGGCAAAACACCTTATGTTCACAAATAGTATGGCCTAACTGCAATTCCTTCCTTAATTGTTCATCGGCTCCTATGCAGAGTTGATAAAATATGTGATAATTCCGATCTTCTTGTGTCTGATAGCACAAGCGTGAAGTCTCTAGCAGATAGTGAGATATCAATCCACCTGAAACGTAATCCTTTATATTATATATAATGTATACGTGTGTTATAATTTTATAATATATTAAAGAATTTTAGTAAAATGAAAGTAATTAATTTAAAACGAGACCATTAAAAAATTAACTTAAATAGAAAATAAAATACTATATTAATTTTTTTTTAAAAAATGTTTTATAATTCGGAAGTATACATATTGCAAATTGTAATTGTGAAAAGTATATCATGGCAAAAACACTTTATTATTTACACAACAAAAATATTATGACCCCTTTAAGAGGTGAAAAGTTTTTCGCAAGTGTATTAATCGGATAATTTATAATTGATGTAAAAGTGTTCTGATCGACAAGTACTTTTTTTATAAGGAAGTGGATAAATATGATAAGTTTGCATTTGGGGAAAGATTGTATATTTATTATTATATAAAAATTATTAGTTTAAACTTACTTTATCGTCAAAATAAATTTCGACGAATTTTCCGAATCTGCTGCTATTATTATTTCTGACTGTTTTCGCATTGCCGAAAGATTCTAAAATGGGATTTGAATCCATGATTCTCTGTTCCAGAGGGCCTACCATTTTTCCATACGAATGAATAAGGTATTTTATAACGTGTTTTGTGCATTCTGTCTTACCTTTAATTGTGACAAAAAATAGTGAGGGGGAGGGGGAAATTACTACATTTTATAAAATATAAGTTATAAACTATGTTAAACAACATTAGATCATCATATCGCTGCCTTAGTATTGGAGTGATCTATCGTATATTTTCAAGAATTTTGAATATAAAATTTTTATTTAATCTACTTAATTTAAAAACTTAACTCGCGATATTACATTTTATAATAATATCAATTATGAAATTTTCCTATTTAAATCGATATAAAATGTTAGAAATTGTAAAAATTACATTAGAGATCATGAAAATAATTTAAAATGGTATTAATAATTTCTAATTAGTATTATAAGCAAATTTATATTATATATATAAAAGGCGTATTATGATATAAGTTTTAAATTATTATTATAATTATTGTTAGCAATCAACGTAAAAACAGAATTACTGTTCAAACTTTGACTGCGATGATCTTATTTTTTAGATTAATGCGCAGATAGGGCACTCCTTAACTCAAGCCATAATATTTTTCAAATAAATAAACCTGCTCCAGATTCACCGCTTATGATAATAGATTGATTTTTTTTAAACGTTTTCATATCGCGATACGCCTTTTCAGCTTTATATTTAGAATATAATAAATAAATATAATAAAATATATTATAAAAAAATCTTTAATCATTGGTAAATCCTTCAATTCCAATTTTTTTATTGTTACCTTTGACAAAAATTTAGACATTAAATAAAAATGATAAAATTCTTCTGTATTTCATTTCTCATTTCAAGAATATCGATGGAAATCAAGCTTTTTAAGGATCCACTCTTCATCAAAGATTTTTTCTAAGAAACATTTAGCCAAAAAGAAAAACAGTTTTACATAGGGGTTACATTCAGGTTATCAAAATCAAAACGGTTCCGATTAGGTTTTAAATTTTAAAGGTCTTTTTGCTAAATTGGAGTGAATAAAATAAAACAAATTCTAGGTGGGGAATACCGGGTCACATCGAACTAATGAATATGTTTATAGTGAAAATGTAAAAATTTTAACGTCTATTAATTTTGTCTGGGGTAAGAGCAATAAGATTCAGTATAATATATAGTTTGTTAAATGAAAACTAAAACCCTCTTCTATCACATGTGTGAGTTTTATATCATAATATCATCTATTAGTATTTTTTTATATCACCCTTTATTACGGCTGACGACTAGGGCAGGTATTTTTAAAAGGTTGGGATAAATATTGTCTATCGTAAATATAAAATCTATAGGAAGAACAAAACTTTAATTATTTATCTTTATATTTTAAGTAATACTTTAAAAGATTATTTCCTCCCCATTTTTTAATAACTATCTAATATATTATTTTTAAAAAAGCGATTAAAAAATTATAAATTATTTAAATTAGGATATTTATTTATAATACAATTACAGACCCAGTGTTAAAATAAATTGTTATTTTATATACGATAAATATATCGATAAAAATAAATATATATATATATACCTATAGCAAATATGTGCGGGGGATTTTTGCCCAGTGATTTCCCTATGTATGACCTGATTTTTTCTTCCGAATACAGTTCCGCAATTTGGAAGTAAGGGTTAATGACAATCAATATATTTGATACGAAAGTCTATAAATTATTTAATTATAATTTAAATAAGTAACTAGTTTAAAGGAGTAATTACATATATTCGGTCTATGAAATATCTCAGTCTAAGATTATGTAGCAAGGTCCCAGGATTCAAATACATCAAAGAACCTAAAGTTGATTTTTATATATGTATATATAAAATTTATTTAAAAAAATTTTACATTGGAAATAATTGAGTTTTCTAAGTGTAAAGCTATAAAAGGCAATATATTTATTACGATATAAATTGCAGGTCATACCTCTTATTTAATAAAATGTCACATTTCCTTTTGCTTAATTTTACAGGTATTTTTTAAAATAATATAAAATAAATACAATTATAAAATTAAATATTTGATTTCCCAAATGAAATGTGTGACTTTTATAAAATTTAAAACGGCAAATTATTTATATATTAATATTTAAATCGAATAACAATAAAAGGGGTTGCCTTTTGTTTTATAATAATAATAAAGAAGTAATTTATGGATTAAAGTGTCAATCCCAAATACAATAATTTACATCTAACGACATTTAATAATAAATATTCATAATTTAATACAATTATCGTCATAGTCTTTAAGGATATCTGGATCTGCTAAACACACATCTATAAATGGTCGCGTTATAACCTATACAATGGTCATTTCCAAAAAAAAAATTAAAAATTGATTATTGAATACGTATAAATATTATTTAAAATTAAAATAATTCCCAATTATTCCGAAAAACTAAGAAATAATGCGATTTTGCGCCCGCCTTATTAATTTAAGCAAGAATTCCGATCCCAAATCTTGCTAAATTTCAAAAAAAAAATTTATACCACATTATATTTTAAAAATCCAATTGCATTATTTATATGAAGAAAATTTTCTCTGACATTATAAAAAACACATTTATTAAAAGTTTTTTAGCAAATTTTTTGATCCTTTTATTAATTCTGTAAAAATTAGAATAAATTTATAATTGTATCTAGTATAAGTTTCTATTTATTACATCAGTATCACTATCTAACAGCTGGTGAGCGATCGGTATCGACTTTAACGAGAGTGTCTCTTTGCCAATATCAACTATTTTAGCCAAAACAAATCCATGGGAGTTATTATGAGCCCATACTAATTGTTTATCAATCATTTTTTTTCTAAACCTTTTGTATAAAATATTTTTAAAAAAATTCAAATCATCTTTTAAGAATTAAACAACAAAAAGATATAACAAACAGGACATGGGCAGTGTCAACGCTAGGATTATTTCTAAACTGCAACCTTTTTACCCGCCAATATTGCTTACTCTAAACTGCCTAAACAGAAAAGGGCTATTAAACAGAGACATGTAGGCCCGACCCGGGGCTGTATTTTAATTATTTTAATATGTCTGGGTCGAGCCGTATATTTTAAAACTGAATATTTTACGCCATTATTAGCTATAAAAATTAAAAATAAATGTAATATATTATTAAAAAATCCCGGCCGGGCAGTGCAAATATTACTTCTAAAGGTCTCTGATTAAGATTTAACAGGTCTTTGTTTAATTTGTACTTAAAAAATATATAAATAACTTAAATATAAATAAGTTTCAAATATAATCTGAGCGTTGAGACGATAAGGTTTGTTCTTTTTCTTTAGCATTAGCACATAGATGGGGTCAGAATTTTGTTAAAGAAGCGGGGCACTTTTAGGTAGGGGTTTACTTCAAAAATTTTATTGGAGGTTTTTAGGTACACTTATTGTAGGCTATAGGCGTAGCCAATTGGAAGAAAGAAATGAATAAAAATCTAATTTTTTCTTTTTATTAATTTATTAATAATTTCCAATATATTCAAAGTTGACGTTTATATAGTTCTTTCTAAGAATGGCTATAGCAAGCTTTTGAAAACTTTCATGAGGTTCTTCTATGAGTTTAATGAGTTGGAGCCTAGATTTTTGAAGAATGGTAGGACGAGTTTACAAGAGGTGGTAAGTGTGGTCGACATGATGGGTTTAAAAATATGTTCATTGAAAATGTTTGAATATTTCAAGATTTTATGTTTGTTATTTATGATACAATATGTTGAGGCCTTGGTTAAAAGGGATTAAGGGATTAATACAAGAGTTCCATACTTATTAAATTTATAATAAAAAAAATTAGAATAATTACCCAGGGCTATTTCAGACATTTTTGATTTAGACTGCAATAAAATTGTGATATCTCTTTTCGCTAAAATAACTATATGAGTGGGAACCCCCATCACTAAGCTATAATTTCATTATGCTAAATAATTTTACCCCAAGTATATTTTTTTCTTCGAACAAATTTAACGACAATCATCTTTTGTCTGGATTTGCCTCAAGCCTGGGGTATTCTCGGACACAACCGGGATATTTATGGAGTAATATTTATTGACTTTATTTTAATAGAAAATGATTTTAAAATAGACAAATTATATAAATAAACTTTATTAATTAATTTAATTATCTTTGGTCCCATCATTGACCAAATGTTTGATATGATCCTATTAGATATTTTGTCCTCATGCATTTTAAAATTTTGTTATAATCTTTATTAGTAATACATTTATCATATTTTCTTAATAAATTTTCACATTTTAAAAAAAATTATTGAAAAATTTGAATGATGTAAACATTTATAGTATCCGGCAATTACCCCGCTCGGCATATCCCTAGTGGTAGTATCTACATAAATGCGATAAGTATCAAATAAATCCTTGCTCAAAATCTTAGAAATATTTAATTTTATATTTGTTAAGGGTTCAATTATTCGCAGTATCAATTTTAATGTATGGAACATAACTAAATTAATTTTGGTTATAAAAAGAGGTTTTTTGCATTAAAATTTTTCAAAAGTGTCCTAAGCTGATTTTTTTTCAACAAGTTAACTTTTTTGTATACATCTACTTTGCATAAATTTTAAGTCCTAAAGTCAAGTAGTTTTTAAATATGAAAGCTGTCCGAATTTACCCCAAGTCCGAAATAGCTCCGGTCTCCCCTAGCTTATCCTTTTATTTATAGTTTATTTGATAAATGGCTCAAAGAAAGATAAAATATTTCATTCCCACTAAATTTTACTAAAGTACCTGAACAATTTTTTTTCTATAGAAAATTTGATTTAAAAAAAATAATCCTATGTTCGAACATTTCGAAAATTATATAAGTGAATCTGATAGTGTAATTGAAAAAAATTAATTGGTAAAATGAAAAAAATAATATTTTATCGGGAAAAAAACATCATAAATATAATATAAATTAAATGAAGGTCATTTTGATGCTATCGTTAAATATGAATTTTTATTATATTATACCTATGTAAAGAATATGAATTTTTAAAAAAAAGCAGAAATTTTTAAAAAAAATGAAATAAAACATCGCCTTGTTTGTAGTGATGAATAATACAACGAACGAATAATCAATATAAAAGGATATTTTATATATATATATCAGATTTCTTCGAGATTGCTTGAGTTAAAAATAAAAGACCAAGGTTTAATGAAAATGATAATGATTTTAAAAAAATAGTAACTATAACGCCGCTATTTATTTTGAAAAAATGGCTCTTAATCAGTAGAAAGCTACTTTTTTGGAGAAAAAAATTTGTAGCTATAGCGTGCTAGTTTTTTTTAAAAAAAAATAATAAAAAATATATGAGTAATGATGCAAGGCGTTAAACTTTTTGGATTTTTTATGTGTTTATTATAGCTTATTTTATCTTTTATATACAAGAAAATTTTATGTTTTCGAATAGCGCTTATGGCTTAGTCGGTTTAGTACGTGTATCACAATCAGGTAGTTCGGTTCGAATCCAGCAAGAGTCATGTTTTTTTCTAAAGCCAACTCGTTCAGTTCTTGAGAGTGATATATATTAGATCGGTCTCGACCAAGTGGTTCCGTTAATAATATTAAAAAAAATATAGGTCCTATTGTATTTTAGCAAATTTTGATCGTTGTTTAGCAAGTGGTCTAACATCATATAACACCCAATATACTAACTAAAAATTTACTGTAAAACTTAGGCTCCCTACATATCTCATTTTTAAGTGACTATAAAGATTCGATGCTATGTAGAACCGGCGTTGGTAAATATTCCAGTCCCATTACTTATTTATATTTGATTTAAATAAAAGGAATTCACATTTATGCCAAGGAGTAAGGTGGGCTAGTCTGGATAATCTGATATTGATCAAACTCTTTTTCCAAAAAATAATTCCAAATTTCACAATTTTTAAATACATTGACAGATATAATGGTTAGAGGGTTAGTGTTATATTCAAAAAATTGATTTATTATTATAGTATGTCTGATCTAAAATATTTTTCAGTATGAGGTAATTTACCGACCGACCAGTAGCATTATTCAATTAAATAACCATTCCTCGGAAAATTATTATATAAATTTAGATATTAAGACCACCCTTTTAAAATAAATTTTGCGTATGCTCTCTGGCTCCTACTTTATACTGATTTACAACAAATATCCTAATATAAACACAAACATCTCTGTAACAAATTTAACCTTATTCGTAGAGAATCCTAGTATTATATTAGAATTTAATTGAGTATTGGAATGGCCATGGTGCAGAATTGGAATAAATATAACTAATAATTTTGAATGCACTGGATATTTAATTCCCTTTTCTTAAATATATTATATAAAAATAAATCTGGTTTGTGTTGTAAAATAAATTACTTATATTTTTTTTTATTATATTTGTAATTATCTTTTAAAAGGTATGAATAAATAATATTATATTTGTGATATTTTTTTTTATTATTATACAAAACGAAAATCTTGAATAAACAAAAATTATAATTAACACGAAAATAAATATAAAAAAATAAGGAAATAAATAAATAATTATTAGGAATATAAAATAATTTGTAATGACATCACATCAATCGTAAATAATTAGAAAGGTAAAGCTAAGATATAAAATAAACAAATATATGCTACTACTTTTGGCCCTTCGATTTTGAAAATGTTTAGGACGTGTCCTAAAGGTCTGTATTGGGCTGGTTTTTCGCCCGCCCGCCCAAACTTTGGGTGGACATGGTCGAGTTTTCTAAAATATTTTTAACATTGGGCAGGAGGTGGGCGAGTTAAATTTTTTTTAATTAATGGGTGGTTGAATTTTTAATATTTTTTAGGCGAAATGAGTAGAACAGACTTCAATTTATTAAAAATAATAGTTAAACATATAATGTTGCATATTATATTATATGTTTTTAATTAAAAATGCATTAAAATAAATAAAGAGTCAAACCAACCATTAAAATAATTTTTAAACATTAGGAGGGCGGGTTAAATAAAATTTATAGATAAATATGCTGGAGGGTGGGTAAATTTTTTAAAAAAAATTAAAAGTGGGCGGGCGGACGGGTTAAATAAATTTTAAAACAACGAGTGGACCAGCTTTTTGGCTAAAAGCCAGCCCATTGCAGACCTCTAGTGTGTCCTGGTTTGACTTATTACTAAATAGAGGGCTATCTACTAAACAGTCTAAAAAGCAGAGACCTGCGAAGGTACCATCTGCACACCCGGCCTGGATTTCAAAAAATTTTTTCGGTCCGGTCCGCCCTGGGTTTATTTTTAGACCAAACCCTGATATATTTCCTATATTTATTTTTAATTTTTATAAATATACGGCCCGGCTCGGGTATCTAAAAAAAATTAGGCCCAGAAATCACCGGGCTGGGATTAGGGCCTGTTTTGCAGGTCTCTGTTAAAAAGTAAAAGAGAAAAAAAACGAGAGAAAAATGAAAATGATAATGCCACCAAAAACTTGAGTTCAAAAGCTGTTTAGCCTAAGCTAAACAGAAATAAGTCGAAACACGGCCTTAGGTCTTTTTTTAATAATGGATAATTCTAGTGTTCTATATTCATTAAGAAAGAATATAATATAAAAAATTTTAACTTATATGATTATAATTTTAATTTAAAAATAAAATCTTAATTTTTATTGTTGTTCCCACCAAGATTTATAAAATATTTGATATTATATTTTGAAAAAAAAGTTACATAAAATAACAAGGGGTAAAAAGGTTATTATAATCTTATTTTTAGTAATTAATTTTAAAATACACATCAGTATAAAATACAGTGAGTACGACGATACAATATGATACATATAATATGTAATGTTGATAAATTGAACAAAATCAACATTTTTTAAATAAGATATCGAACAAATAAATTTAATAATAGTGTTCTAGATTTTATAAAATAATTAAGGAAGAAACATAAGTTAAGACACTTATAAAAGATTATAATCATTGAGTATTTAACTAACCAGAACAGGAGATCCATTTGCAAATTACTTTAAGAATTTTGCTACTTATTAAATGAATTATGTTCTCAAACTTATTTAATATTAAAGAAATCTGAAATATTTTTGTGTCAAAAAGTATTTTAGTTTGTTTAATATTATAATTTTTTTTTACTTATAATTATTATGACCTTTTATATTTTAATTATATGTTAACAAATCATAATTTATATTTTCTAAACCCTTTTGATCTACTTAGTCTAAGAATTAATTACCTATATTTATTTTTGATAACCACGAAAACATTCTCAATTGGTTTCAATTGTGATGAATATAGGGAAGATACTCTTTCTTCCCTTTATATACACCGATAAGATGACTTTTATATGTTGATACATTATCCATAACTATGATTAGCATCAAATGGTAAAATGCGAATAATCTGCATCATTGAATCACGATCCTCTAGTGTTGTAAACGAACACGTTCATTTTGAACGCTTTCGTTAACGAAGTTCGATAAAAAATGGTGAACAGCGTTCCTTTTATTTTTGACGAACTTTGAACGTGAACGTGTTTCTTTTTTATGACGAACGCGTTCGAATTTAACGCGCATTCAATGTTAAAAACACCTTTTATTTTTATTTATTTGAAAAATTTAATATTAATCCGAATTTTTTAAGAAAAGTCTTATATTTTATAATCAACTGTTTTTCCTTTTCACAATTCAATTTTTTTAACACACCATAGGCCTATTCAAAAATAATTCGAATATTCAATAATTACGAATACGAATAATAAATTATTTGTTTTATCTGAATACGAATAATCATTTATTCGATTCGAATAAAACGAATTATTCGAATAAAACAAATTATTCGTAATATTTAATAAATTGTTTAATAAATCTAACATTTGTCATAGGAAGAATGGGAGGATCTTATAAAAATTAAAGCTATACTATTGCCTTTATATGAAACTACAAATATGGTATGTGGGGAGAATTATCCTACTTATAATTTGGTTATACCTTATATTTTACTTGAACATCTAAAAAATGAAAAACCTGGTTTCCATAAATCCTTTAACAATAGTTTCAAAGTAGCAGTGATAAATTGTTGGGCTATTATAATTTAACTGCCGATGATGCAATAATAATCACAATATTAGATCCCAGGCTTAAAGTAGAATATTTTAAATCAATATCTGTTGATAATGATATTGATATATCCAAGTTAATGGACAAATTTAAAGAGATTTACAATAAGTATACAGGTATTTAATTTACCCCCATTTAAATATGATTTTATTTTATAAGCTCATAATTATAACTGTCAAACAAATAAGGATAAAATTCAACAAAACAGGCTATACATTGTTTTTAAACAAAATAATATTCAACTGTGTGAAATAGATTTTTATCTGAGTGAACCAAGAGCAAAGAGTGATACTGGCCCGTTAATGTGGTGGAAGGCAAATGCATATCGGATCCCCATACTCTCGAAAATGGCAAGGGATTATCTATCTATAAAAGGAATATCAACTGCTTGTGAAAGGCTTTTCTCAGTTGGAACTAATTTATTGTCAAAAAACCGCATGTCATATAAGGAAGAAAATATAAGAAAAACTCTTTGCCTTAAAAATTGGCTTAAATTATAAATTAAATTAATAATATATATTTTAATTTTGTTTATAACTTGATTATATATTATTTATTATCAGATTATTGATTACATATTATTAAAATTTTTTCTGTTTAAAATCAAATTTGTAATAAAAAAATTTGTCAATATATTTGAGTATGATTTATTTTATTAAAAAAATTAATTCGAATTATTCGAATAATTCGAATCGAATACAAATAGTAGATTTTATTATTCGTACGAATAAATAGTAAATTATTCGTACGAATAAATAGTAAATTATTCGATTCGTTACTATTCGATTCGAATTCGTTTTTGAATAGGCCTAACACACCATTACTATAGTTTATTAATTTGATACTATTGTTTATATTTTAATTTAATAGATTAGCATAAGCATTGATATTATTATTTCATCATCATTATCTGATTCTGAAAATTTAAAATCAGATGAATTAACATTACCATGGCCCAAATATGATCAAGATTTTGGAGTAACATCCTATATTGAAGGAACTAATTTAATACTTACCAAATGTAAAATATGCCCAAAAAGTATTATATCAGTTTCAAAATCTTCAAGTTCCAATTTAAAACGACATTTGATTGTGATATTAATTATTTTATTTTATATGTAACTAAGTAATCATTAAATTTGAAGAAAAAATGCATTTAGGTTATTTGACCCCGACAATAACGATAGTTATTATAAAATTAAAAAAATTAGTAATGGTCAACTATTGATAGACGCATTATTAAATGGGATTAATAAAAAGTATTAAACCTATCCTATCAAATTAATTATATATATTTTATTTTTTAAAGTGAACATAGATATGAAGAAAAATATGTTTTTTCTGCAATTATACATCCAATATTCAAGCTTCAATGGCCATGGATAAAACTTCCACAGAACGAACCTATAAAAAAAATAAACTTATAGCGTTATTGAAAAAATGCATTGAAAACCCTAGAAATGATAATGCAAGAACTGTTAATTTCAAGATATCCTTTTTTTGACTAGTAAGTAAAGGATAGATTGGAGGAGGATAACTTATCTCAATTTTTTGAAGCAAGGACAAAACAATAAATGTTTTTAATAAATTCCCCACGTTAAAAGAGTTGTTTATTAAGTATAATACCACAATCCCCTCATCTGCCCCTGTAGAGCGCGTTTAGTATAGCTAGTGCCGTATTAACTGCCAAGTCTTCCTGTCTATCAGATGAAAATTTTGAAAAACAATTATTTAAATTTAATAAGAAAATTTTTTAGAAATAGAAATATCTTTTCATTCGCTATATTATATTGTATTTTTAATTATATTATCAAAATAAAACTATATTATTTTTTAACATGGCTAATATATTGTGTAAAAAATATAGACATTTATTATTAAATTTAAATTTTAAAATCCTTTTTTTGAAAGTGAACGCGTTCGATTTTTTTAGAAATGTTTACAGCACTACAATCCTCCCATGATTTTATAATGAATAACGCCAAAGTTTATCATTTTTTCTTTTTGAGGTGGGAACATTTATTGTTATCCTCACATTGAGTGGTGTCCATTATAAATAAATGACTCATGCGATATTCATCTATAAAAGTGTAATCATGTTAACTAAATTAGATTTCCTTTCCATCATTATATAAATATCTTTAATCCATATCTATTCTAAATGTATTAATGTTAATGATTTGCATAATTGCAGCAGTGTATCCAGGATTTTATTTCGGATCCTGTCCAAAAACTTCAAGGCCGGCTCCATCTTTGGCTAATAATACTTGTTATGTGAATCGATCTCGCTTCAATTTGATATCGCGCCTTTTTTGCAAACACTAAATTCAAGCTTAAATATATATATGTAATACTGTAATCCATAATTTTTGTAGTTAGGCTAAGTCCTAAGCGGATATGCCTAAAGGAATGAGTAAATATAAAAATTTAATGTGAACTTATTTTATATACCAGATAAAATCTTAAAATTTATATTTTTTTGTAACATTTGTATTTTTTTACGAGAACGTATAATTTCCCAAAATAGGCACTGAGATATTTCTATGTAATTATTTAATAATATTTCTTAGATTTCGAATCAAATAGGTCGCATATTCCCATGTGAAAATATTATTTTTATTTCAATATTTAACTTCCAATATCAACAACTTTTATGAAATTGTAGAGGTACATTTTTTTAAAGTGTTCAAATAAAAGTTTCCGGTAAGCATAATTCTAGTTATTATTATTATCTTAAACTTCTTATAAACATTTTAGAAAGTATAAACAATCCTAACTTTTTTCATAAAAAATTAAATATTTCAGACATGTCGCTAACTCTTATTATTTAGGCCTAATTAGATCCTAAACTTTTTTCTTTCTTTCACGTACTCAAAAAAATGATTTTTTAAAAAAATTAATTGGAAAGAAGATAATTTAAATATACTTCATTTTCTTCACTTACTTATTTCAGGATTACAAATTTGGTCATGTAATATTATATTTGATAATATAGACTTAAACAAAGGAAAACCTTTAAAGTTCTAATAAACTAATTAATAAATTATTGATTTTAATAGAAATGTTTTAGCTATATTTTATAACTTTCATATATACATTAATTGTATAAAGCAAAATAATGATTAAATTCTAATAATTATATTCCTTTGTTGATTTTTTAGCTGAAGAAAGCATTAATTATATAATTGATGGGATATATTAGGCATATCATTTCATTTCCCAAGCTTATCAGTCACTTCGGTTGCCGTGTTGAGTCGCAATCCGTTCATCTATCCTATTAAGAGGGTCTTTTATAACCCTTTCTTTGGACGCGTTAGCCTAGTCCAAACAAAGTTGAAGTAGCGATTTATTATTTATATATACTAAATAGATAATTTATGTCATAAGGTAAATATTATATTATATAATATTAAAAAAATATGGCACAGATTAGAGGTGGGTGTAGGCCTAATCTCACCCACTCACACTGGCACTAAAAAGATTACGCCCAATACTCAATTGTTTTATCCCGACCCGACAACTCGCGAACATAATTTTGATCACAAATTTTCAAAATATTCAGGGCGCCCCTTAAATTTTTCAGAGGGCCCAAACCCATGTGACGCTTAATAATAATAAAATCTCTTTATATATGTTTGTTAGTAAATAATAATTCACTCATGTCACATTTATAAATCAAAATTTTTATTTAAAATAGAAATATTTTTTGTTTTGGTTGCGTTCTTTTTCCCCTAGTAAACTCAAAGATCTTGAATTTTGTATAAAAAAACAAGTTTTGGATATATTTTCCTAAAGTAGTCTCTTGGGGGAAAAAATGTTGTTATATTTCCCAGTATGGCAAATAAATTAATATTGCCTACTATTGTATACTACCATTTATTATCAGATAATCCTATTGCTAACTTCTTCAATATGCGATTTTTTAAAATAAATCCCGGCAGAAAGAAGATTAAAGGTAGTGAATTTAATTTGTTTTATTGCTAACAAAATTCAATAATAAATAAGTTTAGTAAATTAAATTGAATAATTCTTACAAATATAAAGTATTTAATCATGTTGGCTGAGCACATTCTACCTCCCCCTACTACTCCCAGTGGCGTTAAGGACCTGTTCAAAAAAACTAGATCGGTGTTTAATCCATAATAATCGCTATGTGAATCTATACCACGCTTTTTTGCGCTTATACTAAATTCAGTCCTTGCTTCCAACTAAGGCTTTTGACAGCCAAATAAATTCAATATCACTTACACCTGGATTAAAAGTTAGCTTTCGCTTAGCCCCCAATTCCAATTATTGGTCAATCAAATAAATGAAATTAAATATTTTATTTTACTCTACATTTTTATATATTATTTTATCTTTCATTGAGAATTTATGCTATTATAAGATCTTAACCGTATGATAAATCTGGGACAGAGGCACATCAGATCAATTCAGTTTTTCAATTTCATCACACAAGAGTGGAAATTTAATAATAATATCCCTAATTGAGCTATACTTTAATGACAATTGGCTAATAAGAATTTCAAAAATACTTATTCCTTTATACAAAGATAAATGTGTATTTTGGCTTACAAAATATAACAAAAAATAAATGCAAACCTTATCATTTCGATTTATAAATAAAGCTTTTACAGTTTCGTTAAATCGATTTTAGGATTTAAACGCCATTTTTTAATCTGACAATTTTTCGGAATGTTAAAACATAAAGTATGATTTTATATAACATTTATAAAATTAAGAAGCTGTGTTGATGGTTGACCCGAAGAAGGTTAGTCATATTAATTATAATAGCATATTTATATTATATTTTGATTAAACAAATGCAAGTGGTTTCAAATAAATATTTATCAATTTATAATATAACTTTTTCTACAATTATATTATGGAACTTTAAATCATTAATAGCATGGATTTTTTAATTTTTAAAAACCTGATTCTGCGGAAATCGTATTCTAACATGTATTGTCAGTTCAGCGATTTTATTTTAAAACTAGAAATGTTTCAAAGTTTAAATTTAATAATGTAATAACATTCTATAATATATGATTTGGGGCATAAAATATTTTATACCCCCTTTTTTGGTTATTTAAATTTTGTTTTATGATAAAATGTGTTTTCGTGGTGAAAATAAAAATATATACATCAGTTGTATTAGGTGCCATAAATCAACATAAAATAATAAAATAGACATTATATGAATGTTAAAACACTCTTTGTACTTCGGAGTGTTTCATAATCTTTTACCATGTTTTAAATATATTTTTAGTAAGTAGGTATAAAAATTTATTTCCAGTCGTTTTTTAAAAAAAAATTTTTCATAATGAAGATTACCCAACCCCGTTTAAAAGTTCAAGGCAACATTGTATAATATTCACAAATTATAAAAATTAATAGTATGTAACCCTCTTCTACATATTTTATTCTTCTTAAACGGTTCAATTTGAGCCGATTTTTAAAAACGGCGAACTCAATATTTTAGCAAGAAAAATATTGGCTAATCTTGATTTCGCTAATAGATATTCTAACTAGAGATCTGCAAAAGTAGGTCCGGCCTGTACCCGTGCTTGGCTTATTTTTTTTTAAAAAAAATTGGGTTCGGGCTAGGTCGGGCCTAATATTTTTTAAAAAAATTCGGGTTGGGTCGGGCCTATATTTTAAAAAATTCGGGCTGGGCGGGCAAATATTTTTCAAAAATTTGGACCGGGTCGGGTCGGGCTTTAATAATTTTTTAAAATATATCTAAATTTATCAATTTTATGTTTAACTTTTTATTTAAATTTAAAATATTCGATTTTATTTATAGAAACTAGACGCCATATAACATATATTTTTTATTTTGAGTAGTATAAAAATTAATTTCTATATTTAAATAAATTCGGGCCAGGCCGGGCCGGCAAAACTTTTTAAAATATTTTCGGATTCGGGCTGGGCCGGCAAAACTGGGCTTAAAAAATTAGGCTCAATGCAGATCTCTAATTCTAAATCTTTGTGCCATTCCATGGATAAAATATTGAATTAGCTATTTATAAAAATGGCTCAAATCGAGCCGTTTAACAATACCAAAATATTTAAATGAAGGAGTGGTACTTTACTTACATACAAGGGGAAATTATGTATACCAATGTTTATGTGTTGGTGAGATTGAAAAAGTGTTAAGGATGATGTTTTTAAATCGAAAATATAAATAAAACGAATATTACAGAGTTTTTTTAATCATTAAAAAATATTGAAAACCTCATTGTTTTTTTCTTTTGGAACATTTGCATTTTTTATTTATTTCTGGATCCTTTTCACCCCCAAAAGGGGTACCATAAATATGCCACTATCCCCCCCCCACCCCCTTCCCCTTTAAGTAAATTTAGTAAAATAATTATAATCATTTGTAGTTTAAACAAAACAAAACAAAATCTCTATGAATATAGTTTAGCTATTCTTTTATATTAATAATATCGTTATTTTTTCAAAAATGGATTGTTGAATCTATTTCTACGTTTCACAAATTTGTTAATATAGAAAGAAAACACTATAAATATAACTATAAGTATGTGTATAAGTTTAAATATAAAGGATAACATAATATCATCTTATTTTTTTAAAAAAAATTCATATTTTTCTAAAGTTTATATATAAATTATAAGTCTTCCATTAAGCATAAAATATTGGTGACTATCTCCGCATTAGTAAATAATTTATAAAAATATCTTCTTTTTTCATGTATATAAATATTTTATAATACACTTATTATTTTTTCAAATAAAAGATTTAAATAGGTGTCTTTATAATATGAATTATTTATTGCACTTTCAGCTCTGGTATCTGATAATTTACAGTTTGACACATTTGCCCATTTTGCATGCCTTATGTTTATATAATAGTGTATATGTATATAACAAATAAGAGATTATATTAAAAATAATCATTAAAGACTTTTAGAGAGATGAAGACCTTTTTTTAGTTTAGAATTCCGAATTAAGAGATTTAATTTTTTTATATTCAAATTACATGTTTAAATATTTAAAATTATGAGCTTGATTTTCACGTATAACCAAAGTTCGAATTTCTTAGGTAATATTTTTGCGAGATCATAAACCTATGAAACGAATTATTCACATTCTTATGACACAAATAATTCAAATCGACTTAATTTCGATTCGAAAATTAAATTCCTTAAAAATATTTTCAAAAATGGGAAAAAAAATTGAATATCAAAATTTAAAAATAATGATTATGGAAATGGAGTTTAAAAAGAAATTTCAAAAAAATGTTGAACACTTTGTAATAATTTCAAATATTTATGAATAATTTCTAACATAGTTGTGCTATACTATTCCTAAAATACGAATCGATGACTTATTCATTTTAGATAGAGATCTTATCCTTTAAATTAGAATGCCAAACTATATTATAATAAACATATTTTAATATTCAAAATGGCTTCCTATTATATATATAATGATTATAAATTACTTTGTTTTCTCCACAAATAGATCCTTCTAAAGCTGGAGATATAAATAAATTGAGAGATTTTTGCGGATAAGTGCAATATAGGTATTTGCAGGCATCCTTTTATATAAAAAGGAAATACAAATTGTGCTGCTAATATATTATAATATATTTTAGAAATTTACGCTATGATTTGTATAAGGTTCAGAATTGAGGCCTAAGGATTCTATGCATTGTTGACTTATGTTGAATAGTAGTCCAGGTAGCATGTATAGCTTATTGCTGTCGTTGACAGCTGGCAAGGATAGAATATCTCTATTAGGAGACGTTTTATAGAGACAAAGATGTTGTCTTTCTGAGTCAAGTTTAATATTATAACAAATAATCATTAGTATTAAGGCATCATATAAATTTATTAAAAGTTACCATAAGCTTCTTATTTAAATTACTATAATATTTTAAAAAATCTCTAAGGTAAAGGTTATCTATCTATAGAAATAAAATACCTTTGTTTAAAAAGGTTCCACGTCAATTCGGCGCGGCGTCAATTCGGCGCATCGTCAATTCAGCGCGGCGACAACTCGGCGCAACGTCAATTCGGCGCAACGTCAATTCGGCGCAACGTCAATTCGGCGCGTATCTAATACAGTTGCAATTTATTATAAATTTATTAGTATAAAAAAAAGGATGATTAAATAGAAATGATTTTGAATGTTGGTCATATTAATTATTTCTTCGTATTTTTTTTTACAAAAATCTCAATTTTATTTACTAAATGTGTAATATCAATAAAAAAAATTAACAACCAATATTTATACCGATTTCCTTGCTGGACCAATTTACCACATTATAAGGTCAGGGAGACTGGGGTTAGTCGGACCGAATTTTACAAAATTTAGCTCCTGATTTTTTTAGATAATATAAAAAATAATATATGATTAGATACCTCCTAAAACTATACTCTATAAAGGTACCTTATAAAAATTTTAAGAATATAATCATTTTTTTTAAATTTTACTTTTTGAAAAAGTAAAAATAATATCCAAAAAGCCCCAATAACGGTAGCAGGGCTTGCTAAACCATACACGTCAATTATGGCAGTTAATAATGAAAAAAATACAAAATGTTTATCGAGATAAAGGTTCACGCAAAATCTCCAGGCTTACATAATATTGCCTACTAATCAGGGGCTTGGCAAACCACTTAATCTCTTCTTAAAATTAATTACAACAGTAGGTTAAAATTTTATTATAATATAGTTTTATTAGTTTACGTCTATAGACAAAAAATCTTTTGAAATAATTATTAAAAATTTTATTTAAGAAATAAAATATTGATAAAATTTTCAAAAGATTTTTACATGACAGAAATTTCATTAAAATATATAATCATTTATATGTAAATTAAATTTTATAGCAAAGTTTAAACACTCTTCTATAATTTGGGAAAGTTTTATGAGTATTTATTATATCTAGAAATTTAGAGCTAGCAGGGCTTGCTAAACCATACAAGTCAATTATGGCAGTTAATAAAAAAAATTACAAAATCTTGAAAATACAATTTCATGGCTGTTTATGATTGGTATTTAGGATTTATGCTAAGAAATCATAATATCTCCTTTATGTCCAAAATGTTTATTAAATTAACCTAACTTAAGTTTCAATTTTTATATATAATTTGCTTCAATTTATAAGTATTATGATATTTTTAACAATAAAACAATAAAATTATTCTATACGTATCATTATTAATAAATAAAAATGCATTTCAATTTATTATGGCTAAAAAAACCATTGATTTAGGAAGCCCCTTGAATTTGCCTCACCCCGCTATTGGGGCTTTTTGGATATTATTTTTACTTTTTCAAAAGTAAAATTTAAAAAAAATGATTATATTCTTAAAATTTTTATAAGGTACCTTTATAGAGTATAGTTTTAGGAGGTATCTAATCATATATTATTTTTTATATTATCTAAAAAAATCAGGAGCTAAATTTTGTAAAAATCGGTCCGACTAACCCCAGTCTCCCCTACCTTATAATGTGGTAAATTGGTCCAGCAAGGAAATCGGTATAAATATTGGTTGTTTATTTTTTTTATTGATATTACACATTTAGTAAATAAAATTGAGATTTTTGTAAAAAAAAATACGAAGAAATAATTAATATGACCAACATTCAAAATCATTTCTATTTAATCATCCTTTTTTTTATACTAATAAATTTATAATAAATTGCAACTGTATTAGATACGCGCCGAATTGACGCCGCTCCGAATTGACGTTGCGCCGAATTATCGCCGCGCCGAATTGACATTGCGCCGAATTGTCGCCGCGCTGAATTGACGATGCGCCGAATTGACGCCGCGCCGAGTTTTCTGCGCCGAATTGTCATGCGCCGAATTTTCCGCGCCGAATTGACGTGATACCGTTTAAAAAAATTGGTGAAATACCTCCCATAAACTTAATTACCCTTTATATATTTGTTAATTTCTAAGAGTTTTCAGTATAAAAAATATTAATTGTGATTATATCTTCAAATTACAGAAAAATATACCCTAGAATATTGTTAAACGAATGTAGACTACAAGTTGACCATATGGGCTTGATAGCGGGAGAATAAGAATTAGCCATTATGCTATGTTGACCATAGCAATGATTCCCTTCTCCATCGTGTTTCAAACCTAAACTTGAATGAAGAATTTTTTATTTTATAACATTGATAAATAATGCATAGAAAAATTTCTTTCAAGTTTCTGCTTTGCATATCAAATAAAACCTATGGGCTGATAGAGATTTTCGTATTCAGATTAATTTTGGGCGCCGTTAATTTTATATACCACATTCGGAAAAGTAATAATTACTAAATTTCTATTTCTTTTTATTTTCAAAAAAGGGCGATATTGTTATTATTTTCAATTTTAGGTTCTTCAGAAATTTCATAATTTTCATATTTTTCTATTTTAACCTTTCTAATTTATGGTTTTTTATTATTTTAAATTTATGGTCAAAAACTTTCTTAAATTAATCTAATATTTTTTTATAATCTTTCTTTTGATAAATTATTTCATTAATCATTATTCATATTCAGGGCTGATGAGGAACACCCCCCCCCCTCCTCCAATGCTTATGCAATATAATATTCAGTATATATATAGTAATTTTAATTTTAAAAAAAGAGCGAATATTTAATTACTTCATTTAGTTTATTCTTTAAAGCATAATAATATATTATCCACCACCCCCCCCCCCTCATAAAAATTATTGATTATTGCTCTATTAAATAAATGTGATAATAATATATAAATCTACCTGTGTCCTATTTCATGAGCGGCGTACATGACAGAAGCGAAACCTCTCCATCCTTCTATTAAACTCACAGAACCCGAATTGGTGCACATGCCACTAAGCCAGCCATAACCTTTAAATTAAATTACTTTGTATTTAGAATTTAATCTATATATCTATCATTACATTGAAATTATTAGCAAAATTTATATAATACCGGGTAGCAAAAAAAACTTGCTTTTCGGAATCTTTATAATAAAACGTGGCACTTGATTTTTATGAAATTTCATATTTTGTTAAAGGGTGTATGAAACCTAATATCCTATAAAAAATTAGAATTTGATCTAGTCAGTTTTTTTTAAAAATTTAGATCATAAATAATAAATTTTGACAAAAAAATTTTTTCAAGACCCTTAATTTTTTTTCCCAAATACGAATTAAATGGGTTCCAATTGTATTGGACTAACGGAGAACAAAATTTTTCCTTAGTCATTAATTATAATTCAAAACATAAACATACTTTGATTTTTTTTTTAAATACAATTATAACCTGGACTGCTAATTAATTATCAGATGATTCCCTGAGGCCAATGGTTTTATTTAATTACCTTAGTCTTTAGGTAGACTCTTATAGTAGGTCGCATGCGTCTCTTCTATTTCCTAAAAATGTAAATTCTAATCCTATTGATATTGCCGATACAAAAAATATACTGTAAATTAACTGATTACGTTTTTATACCTATCGTGTTATCTTTCTGTGGACATGTTAAGACGAACTTTAAGTTTTTTTTAAAAAAATCAGATCTACATTATCATTCAAAGAATATTTTTTTTCCTAAAACAAAAAATACAAATTATTATTTTAAAATATAATTATGCTTTTTTGGAACTTTATAGAACGACCGATTTATATATTTTATAAATTGCCCTAATTTAATAAAAATGTTCTTTAAAATAAAATATATATATATTTTTTTTTTTTTTTTTTCTCTTTAGCTTTCACCTTTTCTGGTGGTAAGCTCCTTCAACATCTCTCTCCACTTTATGTTATTCGTACAATCTCTTTTATCTATTTTATACTTCTTTATATTGGCTCTAACTTTATGGCCCCATTGAAGTTTTGGCCTTCCTCTTTTACGTTTGCCCATCACTTCCAATCTTTCAACTTTATTTCCTATGTAGTTCATAGGCCTTCTCATTGTGTGCCCATACCACCTAAGTCTGTTTACCATTAACTTAGTCTTAATGGGCACTACCTTTAAACTATTTAGTATTCTTGTACTGCGCACCTTATCCTTTCTTGTTACCCCAGCAATCATCCTCAGCATTCTCATCTCCATAGTTTGTAGACTTCTCTCGTCTGATTCTTTGGTTGGCCATGTTTCCGAACTATATAGAATAGTTGGTTGTACTATGGAACTGTAAATTTTTTCCCTTTAATTTGTGTGGGATTCTTTTGTCAAATAGCACTCCAGATAAAGATCTCCACTTTAAATAAAATATATATATATATAATTAACTAAATCAGTCCTCTTTTTTCTTGCATAACAGGTAACTATCTCTTCTTCCACCTATCAAAATTTTTTTTTTCAAATTATATTCAACACTTTTTTTTCTCTTTAAATTCGTCTAAAGACCCAAAAAGTTATGTTCCATTTTTATAAACTAAAGTCTTTAATTTTTTCACCCATATTAATTCACTAAATTTAGATCAGGGGCTTAGTTCTTTTCTTGGCATAATTTTATCAAATCTTTTTTTATTAACATTTTTATTTTACTGACAAAGTTAACTTTGATATTTTTGGGGGTTATGAGGCGTTTTCTAATCAGATTATATTATAACTTAAATATTTTATGTTATAATTTATGATTTAAAAATAATTTTGGAGGTAGCCGAGCATTCTGCTATAGTCCAACACCTAGCCAAATTTTAAAAGAAAAGAATTGAGGGTTTTGAGTTAAGTATTTTTGGTCTCAATTTTTTAAAATCCGACTTGATCAGACCCGTTTTGGGTATTATGAATATTTCAAAATACGGTGATCCTGTATATAACTTAAAATTTAGAGGAGGTTTAGGTTACCGTATTCCTACGCATATATTTAAAATATTATACTTAAATCAACATTTATAATGATAAACCAGTAATTTCTTTATCAGGAGTTTTGTTGTTCAGGTTCAAATCTGTGCTATTTTTATTTTTTTTGAAGTTTATATAATACCTAAAAATATTAATATAATTAAAAATCATAATGCTTTAATGCACCTTTTACTCGGGAGTTAAATTTTAAAAACTAAATGTATTACAATTAATTTATATTATAGGTTATATTAATTCAAAACGATTACTTATATTAATTAAGAAAAAATTCATATAAACAATGTTTGGGATAGGGGGAGTTTTATATACAGTACATATATATAATTAGAATTTAGGGTTTCAGTGAAAGTATTAGAAATTACCCAGTTAAGAGTAAAGCATGGTCCCAATTGGTATGGGTATACCGTTTTTTTCTGAATTGATAGTTTGAAAAAGATTTTATTAAAGTTGCCGCGTCACTTATTTTATAAAATCCTACCTGGATTGCGTGGGGATATATTATTTATGGGAAAAAAATTTAAAAATAATTAATAGGACTAACTGAAATCTTAGTATAATAATAATAATATTGATTAATGTAATTTTAAAACAAAAATTTATATAATTTTATATTTTTATGTTGTGTAAATAAATTTTAAAAATAATATCTCGTATTAATGTTGTTTAAACGTAAAACGCCGCCAGTCGCGACCCCGACCCAAAGTTGGGTCGTTTTTTGCGACTCCGACTCAAAGTTTGGGTCGTTTTTTACTCCGAATCAGAGTTTGGGTCGTTTATTCGACCTCGACCCGAGTTCAAGCCGAAAAAAACGACCTCGACCCAAAATATGGGTCGTTTATTTCTACTCCGACTCATAGTTTGGGTTGTTTTTTCGACTCAAATTCAAACATCGGGTCGTTTTTTACGACTTCAAATTATTTGAATTTTTTTAAAGCAAATGATTAAAAATAGATATTGTAAAATGTTAAATTAAAATTTCAGTAAAGATGTACCATTATAGGAAATGGACAATTGTCATAATCGTTATTTTTGAACTTTTTTGAATTTTTTTAAGGCAAATGGATAAAAATAGATATTGTAAACATGTATTTTTGGTAGAAATCGTTTTTTTCGGCTTGGACTCGGTTCGGAGTCGAAAATATTTTGGGTCGAGATCATTTATTTCGGCTTGAACTAGGGTCGAGGTTGAAAAAACGACCCAAACTCTTAGTCGGAGTCGGAAAAAACGACCCAAAATTTGGATCAGCTCTGTTCGAGCCGACTCGGCTAAGCCGATTAACAACATTACTTTAATTAAAGATAGATTTTAGTTTTTCTTATTTTTGCCTATATTTATAATCCACTAAAATAATTAATTTGGATTTACTATATTTTTTCTAATATAAATAATTAAACTTTTAGAGAAAAGTTTACTTACAGAGCGTTGTTTTAATTCCTCATAGTAAACTAATTTAAAATTAAGTTTGATCTCCATCGTCATTTGATGATATAAGGCATTTATCTGAATATGAAAATTGAAGATAATATGTAACTCAAATAATATTAATTTAGTTAAAATTATTCATCAATTTTATTACATCAGAAACTGTAATCCGAATTATAATATAATTCAATTTATAATTTTTTTTAATCTTTGCTTTCAACAAGGCTACAAAAGTAACCTCTTCGATATATGTTTTTCCCTTAGCACTTTTTTCCATGTTCACACTTATGGTACAAAACAAAAAGGTTATTTTAAGCCCAAAAAAACGAAACCCTATTATTTGTTTTTCAAGACTTATATAAAATAATTATCGATATAAAAAAATAAAGTTAACAAATTTTCTCTCTGATTTTCCCATTCCAAAGTTCTAGCTTATTTCAAAATTTACAAACATAGTAATTATATTTAGTCAAATCCATTGAATATTCAAAGGTATATGAATTTCAAATTAACTGTTTTCTAGTTGTTAAAATGCATTTGCACTTTGACAGTTATACGTTAACAAAATTATAATTATTTAAGAAAAATAATCAATTTAGAAGAACTCCTAGCTAAATAACATTAAATGTATCCTTACACCCTTGATTAACGTATCCACATATATTTTGATCCCATCTTCCACATCAAGACCTCTTAATTTTCTTATAGCCATCATCGGGTAGTCTACAAAAATTGCTATTTCCATCATGGGCTCTATGTCTATGGGTGGGGCTATATTATGGACATTTATCGTATTCGACAAATTTTCCATGTATGGTAATTCATGATCTAAAGTTTTAACATAGTAATTTGATAAATGAATTTCTAATAAAATTCCCTTTATTCATTTATTATTATAATAATTTAGATATCTCGTTATCTTTCACATAATTTTTTAAAAAATGAAACCATTTAAATATTCTATACTTTAAAAGAGGCCTTGATAATCCAAAAATATTTTATTATACAAAATTAACATATATTTAAAAAATTATAGATGTAGAGATGAGAATAAGATAGAAAATATTAACTATAATACTATTTACTATTTACAAACATATTCTAAAGTTTGAAAAAAAATTAATTAAAATAAATTATACCAATAAATGCCGATACCATCTAATTTATAATAAATTAACATCCAAAATATTTAACGCCATCTATTATTTTAATTTTTTGTAATAAAATAAAATCAATGACAAAAAAATTATAATTTTGTAAGCAATATTACTTCTTAAAGAATATATTCTTTTTTATTAATTTTGCTTGTTATCAATGATTTTTTATAAAATAATATTTATGAAATGTTAATTGTGAATCTAAGTAAGGAATGAAAAAAAAACCTGTTTTCTTCTATTCCTTATGGGAAAAATAATCTACCAACATTTAATTTGCAAATTTTTCAGTTTTCTTAAATATAATCTATTCTCCCAGTATTTTGTTGTAAATATTTTATTATCACAATTATTATATCGCTCATTTTTTTTAGATGATCCGGAATTTTCAGATAGTAATAATATATAATATGTTAAGAATGTAAGCAATACATACTTTTGATATTTTTAAGAAATTATTTTTAAAAAATTTGATTTTAAAAATGTTTAAAAAATTTTGTCAAAAATATTTAAGCTTGTTGTTTTTCCAATTTTTCAGTTTTGTTAAAAATAAAATAAATTCCGTACATGATAAATTAATATTAATTTAAATAAAATTTAAAAAAAAATTAGCAATCATCTTGATGCATACATAAAGTGGGCAAATAATATATTCATATTTCTTCACTTAATAGATAAATCTGTATTTTTTACAATAAGCATATTAGTTAAACAAGAGGTCAGCATTAAGGGTCAAGATAAGAATATGGAAACATTGAAGAGGTGGTTTTTTAGGTTAGTTGTATTATTACCAAATTAAAAATTGAAGATGTTGAATTTAATCATCCCAACTAGCATCATTATATAATTTTCTCGAATTCAAACTAATTTTAATTTGATATAAACATTCAAAAATAATCACCGGGAACCTTAAAAGATCTTCACATAACAAAATTAATCTATTCAACGTCTATAATATTTATTCACAAATCCGTACTAATATATTTTATGTCCTTATTTACATGTTTATTTTTTATATTTGATCGATCTATAAGACACATGATACTAATTAAATCTGTAAAATGGTAAAATGTTAACAAAAATATCTATATTTCTTATTAGGGTTAAATTAAAGATTGGGTTCCAAAGAAATCAAATTGTGCAAAATATTCGGGCTGGGCTGAAGTTTTGAATTTATTTTTAAAGCTTATAATAAGGCAAATTTATGTCGCTATCCTTCATAAAAAAAATTATTACAGGCCGAAAATCCTTTTCAAACATTTGTTTATACCATTATTTTTAGTTAAACTATATCTTTCAGATATTTAATAGACAAAGATTGAAAAAACTTCATTAAATATGAATTCAAAAATAAAAGTAACTGTGTATATAGGTTGAGTCTAATGCAGATAAAATAATAAGTATAGAGCAACAACGGATCCAAATGCCCGCCATGTATGTTAACTAAGGAATTTAATTTCTTCACAAATCTTAATTTCTAAGTTGTATCGGAATTTAATTCTTTGAATTGATTATTCTATAATTATTTCCACATAGTATATAGGATTTCCGATTTCACTAGTATGTTAATTTTTACTCAGCACAGAATCTGGATAAATAAGTTTACCGAATGCTATTTTAATTTGCTAATTTGATTCCAATTAGATTTTTAATAGGTTATGAGAAAAAAGGTTAACATATCATCCTTATTTAAAAAAAAGATATTCTTTGACGTATTGCACAAATTTCTATAGTTTGATAAGAATAATGTTTAAAAGATATCATAATGAATTATTATCTTCCAGAAATTAAAGTCATAGCATTTTTAAATTATAATAAAAATGATTTTTGGAGTCAGTTTTTATTTAAACCATTATAACATAATACGATATTGACCTAATTCATTTTTCATTTTTTAAGATAGTTTTCAAAATTAAATTTTAATATTTTTTTAAAAAGATTTCTCCCTTTGCATTTATAATTAGTAAAAAAAACAAAAAGCAGACAATTATTTTAAAATTATATTTTATTCTAAAATTAATAATAATTATTTTATTTTTTTCATTATAAACTAACTATAAGGAATTGTTAGTTTAATATGTGTGTAAAAAATTGAAAATATTTTTTTAGCATAATTATGCAATTTGGTAATCTTGGGTAAAAACCCTGTTTAATTTTAGTGCCGTCAATTCTAAACTAATCATTATTTCTTTCTTATGTTCACTGACCTGTGTGATGGGTTCAAGGATTGTTTCTATTTTTTTTAAGCTACCACAAACTAAAGAATACATACAATTGAAAAAAAAAATTTTTACTACCATTAATATATAATTAGTTTGTTCATCCAAAATATGAAGGTTATATATATACTTAATTTAACACAAATTCATAATTACGAATTATAAAAAAAAATATATTAAAAATTGTAATTAAATAAAGAAACAATTAAACGGGAAAAAATTAACCAGTATAATTTTTATTTTCCATTTCCAAAATCTGGTAATTTATGAAATAACTCATCCATATATTGTATTTGTACATATAAAGCATGTTCATTTTTTTATTTTAAAAGGCTTGCAGAGGTCAAAATTCTAATTTCTTCGTTTGGTATATAAAAATATTTATTTATTTTTTAAATTTAGTTATTTTGAATAATTTTGGCGGAAGAGGGGAAGTGGCCTAAATTATCATGTTTGATGACTGCCCACGCCCACCTCCCTTTAACCTTTTATCTATTTGACTAATATTTCTCAAATTTGGTCAAAATGTGTATATTTCTGATATGTATCTTACAAAAGTTAATATATTGAATAGAGCAATTCAATAAAAATAGTTTTTATAGTATCTCTTTCTAGAAAAATTCGGGAAAAATTACTGATATTTTATATAAATATTATCCTTAGGCATTTAGCATTATTCGCACAAATAATTGTAGTTTACATGTTTTATTTAATATACAAAGCATTTAATGATAATAGAGTGAGTATAGTCTGGTCAAGTATTGACTGGTCAATATTCATACAATCATATTGAAATAAAAAGTTTGCTTAAAACAACATATGGTGAAGATGCAAATGATGAACAAATTCAATTGGCAATTGATGATATAATCATTAATAAAAACTCTCCACTATCAGAATATTTCCATATGGAATGAAATACAAATGGACTAATATTTACCAAACCCCAGGAGAAAATTTTAAAGTTTATAATACAAGCTAGCAAATAATTCATGGTGTTTAGCATAATTTTTTTTAATGTTATTAATTACATATTAGAGTATTAGACCTATTAATAATTATGTTAGAAGATTTTTTAATATAAATTATATATTAGAATTATCTGTTAGAATCATAAATTCAATTATATAAATTTATATATATATTTTATTTTTAAAATCATTTATCAAGAGTATTTGTGCGTGATTTATCAAAATGTGTTAATTCCTGTATCTAAAGAAGAATAATGATGAGTTATTTATATGCAAGAAGGAATATTCAAAGGGTAAGGAAGAGGAATAATGGGTTAAATACGTGCATTATGAAGAATGGGCCCATGCTAAATGGATCAACAATGATTGTTTTTTTGTTTGTATTTATGTAAATAAATATATTATATTTTTCTCATTTATAAATTAATAAAATGGCTTGTCCAATTAAGTTTGTTAATATCATAAATTGTTAAATTGATGAATGTTTATATAAATTATTTAAATAAACATTTTAACTTTGTAGATTATTAAGATAGTAAATTATAAAATCATTAAATAGATTTAAATTTTTATTGAAATTGCATTTTAACTTATATATAATTAAGATAATACTCTATAAAATATTTTCATATCTAGTAGATGCGTCTGATGATAAATTGAGATCTGTATTAAATACTTAAAAAATGAAGAAATATTAATATAGGTTCTTATACAAGTATTTTATATTGTAATATTTCATATTTATAATAAAATTCTTAAATAATATATTATGGCCAGTTAACACATGGTCAGTCAAAACCTGGCATGTTCTCACTTAGCTCAAAAACTGTTATATAGAGCTTTGATTTAAATTTTATTTTAAAGATTAAGGATTGGACTACACATTGGTATTATAATAAATTTGTTTGATCAAACCTAATTCTTAATTACTTTTTTTGAAAGAGGAAAAATTATTTGCAAATTGTTTTAAAAGGAAATTCAAAATATGATGTCGTAAATAAATTAAACGCATTATTATATGATTTTCCAACATTCCAACTGATTAATTGATATTTAATTTAAATACTTTTTAAAAAATTTCCCCGAATAAGCTTGGACTTTTAAAATTTTGGTTCTCTTCTTGTTATGTGAAGCAATTGGAATTAAAGAGAAAAAACGAATATTTATGAATGAGCCAATTATAAATAATTCACTGCCTATAAGGTGCATGCGATTATTGAATCAAAAGTCTTCATAAAATTAAAAAGACTACCTTAAATATTTTGTGTTGTAGTCATTTAATAGTATAGTTAATGACCTATAAAAAGAAAGAAAATGGGATATTATTGTATAAAATAGTTAAACACTTGTGGATATGTTCTCATATATTTTTTTCAAAACACAAAAGCAAATTCAAAATTCCTAAACTTCTAGTTATAAAATTATTTGGGTTATTTACCTAAGTTTTTTATAACAAATATAATAAGCAAACATGTATTTAAGGTAAATATTTGAGAATATAATTTTTTTTAAGTTTGTCCTTTTTAATTTAAATTTTTTACTATTTAGATTTCTCAATATGATATCGAGAGCTTTTTTATATAGCATATTCGTAGGAGGCCTTGTATTCTTCGCTCTTGGGGATGATGCCTATATTGACTATGAAATTATTATGACAGGTTAGTTTTTATTAACAAGAAACTTTGAATCAATTCAATTTACTAAGATTTATTGATAGACCAACATTTTGGTTGATTAGAGTATTCGTAACTATTAATCAAGATGTAATATTTTATTTATAGGTTTTAATATATTTGTTTAAAAAATTTTCCCATTATTCAATTACTTATTAATTCAATAGTTTCATTTTTATCAGTATAATAATATTTCAAAATGTTAATAATTATTTCAGGTAAAATTTTGTAAATTTAAATTTATAAGTTATTTTAAAATTTCCATTCTGTGAAAAGTATATAAATTATGCATATTAAATTGCTGACAAATGTTTTTACTTCATTATTGAACAAATCGATAAATTTTTCAGTTGACAGTTTATTTCGGGTCCGATATTTGGAGAGGGGGCGAGTAATTTTTTTCCATAAGCCATTAAAAATATATCTGAAAGCCAGGTTAAAAGACCCAGAAAAATAGCTCCCTCCCCCAATACTATGGGGCTGTATGAGTAGAGTAGAACTAGTGTGATGATTAACTATTTAGAATTGTTTATTTGTTTTTATGCTATAACTTGTTATATTTATATTTTAATAGGGTAAGTCTAAGTGTTATTTTTATGCACATTTTGTTTACAAAATCATATAACAATAAAAGCGAGTATAATTATGTTAATTCTAGTAAAGTGATTCAAAATTCTTAGCAATCTAGAAATCATAATTATTTTTTTCTCTAAAGGATGGGATTTTAAACTATTGGAATAATATTTTAACATTATTCTTTTAAATTAATATTCGTAGGAAATAATCGATTAATGAATATTATTGAATACACACTAATAATTATTCAAATAATACGAATTGCTATAACCGAATACTATTTAGAATAAATGAAATATTTAATATTCTTTTTATTCGTAATCAATTTATATAGAATCGGTTGCACTCAAACGCACTAAAACGTGCTGTAGAATGAAAAAAGAGTCTATGTTTGGTATAAGAAATCTTGAAATCGGGTTACATGAAATGGTGAATACTAATGCCTCCTCTTATAATTTAATGGCGAAATTTATGCCCCCACTCTCGTCGATTCGCAAACATCCAATTATAGGATACTTTTATTCATTGTCTGAATTTATAAACGGAACCAATCTGGGAGATAAGTTAGATGAAAAACGAATTGAATTCACCGATGTTAATCAGGTTTATATTTTATTATATTTCAGGTAATTAGTATTGCTAAACGGCTAGATTTGAGCCGATTTTTAAAAACGGCCAATTCTAATATTTTAGCCAGAAAAATATTGCCTACGCCTCAAGATTTCGCTAATAAGATGCCCACACCTTTGTGCCATCTATCAAAATTATTGTGTAATATTTTTCTGAATAAAATAATCAGTGAACCATTTTTAAAAATCTACTCAAATCGAGCCATTTTGTAAAATTTAATAATATATTTAGTTTAATATATAATATATTTTTTAATAGAATCACAGTTTCATTATTAAAGATTTAAAGAAAAGCGAGAAATATTTCATAAAAGTTTTCGTAATACACCGCGATGATGGAATTAGAGAAGAGTTTTCTGCTATGCACAT